TAAATTTTCATGAAAGTGGAGCCCTAGTTTGTTTGTCCCTTCTGGTTCAATTAAAACATTTACACTATATATACAATATCCATATATGTTATAAACCATTTTAATTATCAACACAATGAAACGAATAATAAGAAAATAAAATAATTTTTACTTTTGTGTAAAAAAATAAATAAAAATAATAATAATAAATATAGCTGCGAGCAGCAATTGTTGGGGTTCAAGTGTTTAAGGCCTTTAAGCACGTGTAAAAAGTAGTGCTGGGCAAGTTAACGCGTTATTATCGCGTTAACGCATTTATTAATTAATGCCGACAATTTTTTATCGCGCGTTAACGCAGTTTTTTTTTATTTTTTTTATTTTGAAAGTCCGTTGCTCACTGGCTCTGAATACACATAGGCCTACAGTCAAACCATGATCACAGGAGGGGTGGGATGTTGGTCAGCCAGCAAATAACCCACCCAAACAAGCAGTGGAGAGGCTTTGGCAGGTTCTCTCAGGTGAACAGAAAGGGAGACAGCGCTCCGCGAGTGAATGACAGGCGCTCTATGGATAGTAACCATGGCAACGGCTTCTGTGCGCTACGCAGCTGTAGCCTTTTTAACTTAAATTAAAATTATACATAACTTTACCTGATAGGCCTGCGTTTAGTTTAGCGGGGATGCTCTGCCATGTGAATTCCCTCCTGTTGATGTCCAATGATTTGTGCTGCGCGTCGTGTACAAAAAGTTACACAATTCCACTTCGGCAACGCGCGGGCGCGTGCGTGAGGCGAGCATGACCGCAACAGTTTCACAGGAACTTGTCGCTGCACCTGTGCTCGACCACTTCACCTCACTCTAGGCTGATTTATACTTCTGCGTCGGACTTACGCCGGAGCCTCTACGCTATAGACAACGCGTTGGTTTTCATTTATATATCTGCGTCGTTGTCCGCGTTGACGCGCAATTACACATGCAGAGGGAGAGTGTGAAACCCGGGGAGCGGTTCTAGCAATCACAGCGCTTGCGGTACGCGTAGAATTGACGTTACATTTTTGGAGAGATGCACGTCAGGGTACGCGCGCTACACAGCTACGGTGTGAGTTCGACGCAGAAGTATAAATTGGGCTTTACCTCTGTTTAATGTAATCTTACGTGGGAAACCATGGCATGCCATGACCAAACCTAAGCTGCTATCAGAGAAGTAACGTTGTTTGACTTATATCTGTAGTAGTGATCATGACCCTTTGACTACATAGACTGTTTCTGCTGCTCCCTGATACAAGATACCTGTTCAGAAAAAAAAAAACAAGAAAACTTTTAACCAGCTAGATAAAAGGTAATGCCCTGGCAGTGGCAAATAGCTTTGTTTAAATATTTGATTTGATTACGTTAATGTTTAAGTTGAGATTTACAATAAATATTTTATTGATACTGTGTAAAGGGAATACTGCTGGTATAAAGCAGCTTATTTGTTTAAAGTTTTTGCAAACCACATGTTATTGCACTTTTGTAGCAGTACATTTAAATCAAAAGTGCGCAATACACTACTTCAGAATTCATTATTCAATTTTGCGCGTAACAATGCGATTAATTGCGATTAAATTTTTTAATCGTTGCCCAGCACTAGTAAAAAGATATTATGTTTTATTTTGCAAGCCTGTTACCATCTTAATCATAGATGCATGACCATTTACAGCCAACACAGGCAACTTACCAAAGAAAAATACAATTTCACGTTTTTATACCAGTTATAGCCCCACCTGTGGTCCGATCTTCATAAAAGTTTGCATGCTTGTTTAGAATCATATGTCGCATCTTCTCACCTATTTTCGTGTACTTTATTTTTTTCATTTCAACGATAGGCTTTTGGTCACACTTGTTTTTTAAATGACCCTGCTATAGCTATTCAAAGTTAAAACATTTTTTGGATAACTATTGACCTAGAGAGTCCCGAAATTTGTGCCGCAGGGGTTTTATCGAGGTGGAGCCAAAAACCTAGGACTAGTTTGTCCGTTTTTTTAAATAATCTTGCACGGCCTTGTACCTATCTTGCACCTTTCTTATTAGTCGAGCCAACCCTGAGATGTGGGACCTTTCTCAGACTTTAAATGGCCTCTACACAAGCCCTTCTCTCTCTTGGCGTTCTCGGTACGTTCGGGTTGCTGCCACAACAGAATCAAGGACAACATCAGGAGTTTGGCACAACGTCTTCATTCAATGCAGAAGAAGTCAATCGCAACTCCCACCATCAACTCTTCCGACTTCCTCCCTTCTCCTGGAGGCTCTGCGTGTCCTCTCCGGCCCAGGATCGGCACTCCAGCCATGTGCTCATGGAGAGAGAGAACACCTTCAACCAGAACAGAGTCAAACAAACCATGCAAGTTCATCACCATTTCTTCATTCAACGCAGAAAACATCGATCGAGACTCATGGGACCATCAAAAATACTTCTTCAGGAACTTCACGAAATGCTGTCACTGCACATGCCATGCATGTATACATTTAATGAGGTGCTCTGAAAATGATAAGCTGTCGGTTCTTTTCATAGTTAAATGGATATTTTCCATATTTCCATTTCCTGCTTCCAGTTCCTGTTCGGTCACTCACCATTTTACCTACAGTATGCATGCGTGTATGTGTGTTTAGTTTGGTTATGTTTGTGAAAACATGTGCACAATTCGTATTTTGTTGCAATTCTCCAATAACAAAGTTTATTTTACGATTTAGATTTCAACTACAGGCTCTTAGTTCTGTACAGTGAGAAAGACATTTCCCTTCCCCGGAAATGAGCATTTCTTAGAATTAATCAACAATTAACACTGAGTGTTCACGGGACAAATTAATTCTACATTAAATTAATTCTATTAACTGATCCAAATATTCATGATTAATTATTACAACTTATGATTGATTATTAATATGTATGTATTGGGTTGTCAGTGTTTATAATTTGTACTATTGTGACTGTCGTCATGGGAGAATATTTTCCCAGTATTTATGGTTTATTTACAACTGTGTTTGTTTGGATTCGTTTCTGGTTAGTTTTGTCAATTTCATGTGAATATGGTATTGGTTACTTGTTTTCTTTTTCTTTAGTTGATTTTTGTCCATTGTATAGTGTGTTTTTGTTTTCCTTTATTTTGTTTGGCCATTTATGAGGCTTTGTACTGGACGTGACCATATCTCCCTTATTAGGAGGTGGTGTGATGCAGTGATAGTGATATCTTTTGATTTGATGGTTGTGTATTACGTTTAGCACGTGTGTTACAATTTTCCTGGGTTGCACTACATTAGCGGAGACTGTTACTTCCAGTCCAAGACTTTGTCTAAGTAAATTAATCTGGCCCCTATTGCGGCTCCTTTATTCTGTTTGGTATTTGTTGAATGAATGTTTATATATGTTTTTTTTTCTAAAGAAATAAAGAGACCGTGTACCTCACCAGAGCCTATACTTTCATTTAATTGAACAACTTGAGCGGGTCTACTCCCCCATTAATTATAGACGGTGGATATAGTCTCCCTGTTACAATTATTTTGAGCTAAATGGCTACAAATGCCACACATAAATGATCTTCTGGAGACGATTGGCCAAGCCAGGAGACAGGACAACCAGTTTTTACATTTTTTACAAAGATGGTTTCTGTCATTTCTGGCGTTTCAATGACGCTGATGTTAGTTCAAGTGTTCGTTCTTTAAATAAGTTTGGTTTTAGTTATTTGATGCTAATTTTCTACAATGGTAGAGAGTGAAGGTGCGTCGTCCATCTTTTTTTACAGTCTATGGTTGAGATGTTTTTTCAGTGCAAGATCTAACACAGTTGAGTTCGGCAGAATGTCCCAACCTGACTCGCCAAACGTTAAGTGTGTGGTGTAGTGTAGTGTAGTGTAGTGTAGTGTAGTGTAGTGTAGTGTAGTGTAGTGTAGTGTAGTGTAGTGTTGTGTAGTGTAAGTAAGGTTAGGTTTATGCTCCTCTGACTGTCAAAGGCTAAAATCTTTTCCAGTCAATGGAAACAGTCTTCAAGTGTGTAGAGTTCAGTCTGAGAATGTTTCGGCTAGTTGCCAGGTGTGTCCCCAGCTTTACAGCGAACACGAAACATTAGTCGAGTTTCCAGAAAGTAATGATTTCTGCCCGGTAACAGGAGCGGTCACAACCCCAGATTTATTTCAACAAAATAGTGAAAATACAGTTTATATAGCGCACTCTCTTCTCAGCTGTACATGATCACATTCATTTACAATAAAACATACATTAAAAACCCTTTATGCTTATATCATTATTACAATCAATGCTGTTCATAGCAAAACAACATACTCAAAAAATAAAATAACAATAAGAAGAAAAGCATCTGGGTCCAGACAGGGAAAGTAAACGATACAAATGTAATACTCCAGTTATTATCCCTTAATATAATACATTTATGTCAACCCTATACATCGAAGGTTTAGTTCATATACAAATGTATTCATTTGCTTACAGAGAGTAACAACTATGAAACCATTTGCATTCTATACAAAATGTTCTGTCCAAAGAGCATTAACTAACAAGGAATGAAAATGCACATCTAGCATATAAATATATGTTCCCTTGACAAGCAATATTGATCTCGCTCACTATGTACAACGACAGGAGTAGCAAATCCAAATCTGAGACTGTACAATCGGACACGTCGTACGTGCGCATACACACGTTATTATTGCGTAAAAAACTAGGCAGACGCAGCATTTCAGCGGGAAGAAACACTGTAAACCGAGAACGTGTGTAAACGCTGCTGAGATCATGCGTAATGAGGCGTAACCTTGTTCATCTTCACACACACACACACACAGCTGTGCGCCACTAAAGTACCGTAAACACTCGTCTCTGTGTTTGATTCCTGCATGATCACACACCACGAGACTCGAGTGTGTTTTCTCCCAGAGGAACCGAGTGGATGGTGACCAGTGTGTCTCTGCATGGCGAGTGTGTGAAAGGAAAAGAGGTATAAGAGGTCCGGCTTCACTTCTGAGAGCGGTCGCTGGACAGTCTTTCTTCAGCGAGTCGCTCCATCAGCAAAGATAGACGGGGTTTGTAGTTAAACGGCTTTGTTTAACGGGTGCAAACCTGTACCTTCTCTGGCAGGAGCCAGGAGTGTGTGTGCAGCGCTGAGGTCCGGTCACACGGCAGAAACCTGCTCATCTGAAACACACACACATGAAGACGGTCAGTGAGGCGGAGTTTAAAGCACTGAGAGCTTCATCACACACAGCAAAGCTTCAACACACACCGACAGCAACGTCACATCGCAAACCTCCAACGCTACTTACACCCATCGTCACCAAAACACGACCAGCTCACACGTCACCCCAACCGAAATCATATTTCACATTAATAATACAAGTGCCAGAATTCCAGAACCACTAGAACCGCTATTTTGAGCGCTAGATTTCAAACTCTATCTCTTTAATGATAAAAACCCAATTGAGAGATTAATGCATTTATTGTATTAGGATATCTTTAAAAAAAAACAAAAAAACACCAAACTGTACATTTAAACAAGTTTAATTATACATTTATAAATAATAATATCCTTAGTAGCCTACCGTAATTATCACATACAGGTGAAACTGGAAAAATTAGAGTATCGTGCAAAAGTTCAGTAATTCAACTTAAAAGGTGAAACTAATATATTATATAGACTCATTACATGCAAAGTGAGATATTTCAAGCCTTTATTAGTTATAATTTTGATGATTATGGCAAATTCTTACAGCTTATGAATTTGGGGGTTTCATATCTGTACGCCATAATCATCACAATTATAACAAATAAAGGCTTGAAATATCTCACTTTGCATGTAATGAGTCTATATAATATATTAGTTCCACCTTTTAAGTTGAATTACTGAAATAAATGAACTTTTGCACGATATTCTAATTTTTTCGAGTTTCACCTGTATTCACAACAGATAGGCTATATTTCCATATCCATTCAACATAACTCAAAACAAAGTAAAAGTATCTTATTTCGATATTCTGCTGAGGGAGAGAGTCAAAGGTCAACCGCGGGAAATGTAACGAGAATACCGTGAAACTCAGTGCGGTCAATATGGCCGAAATAGGTAAATAATTATGTTCATTTGTTTTGTTTTTTGCCTTATGTGTAATTTATATGAAAAACATTTTAAATGAAAATACAGACACTTTTAGGAAAAGTCAGGAACCAGCAGGATTTTATTTATTTTTTCAACAAAGTTATTGTAGATATAAAATTCAAAACGGTCAAAATGACCATCATGGCCGTTCTAGTGTTAAATAAAGCCTATAATGATGTACGCAGACTGGACATTCAGAGAATATTAATTTGACTGTAAAGAGTTTGTTCACTTGCTGAAGAAAAATGCATAATTTACACTATAAAGCATTTCTTCACCACTGTAGTATTTGTTTAACAGCCACTGAAAACATACTGATAATAATGATGATTTTCTGATTAGCGTTGAGTTTGTCTGATACTGATGAGGATATTCCTGTAGTTATTCTCAGTGAGGATTCTCCTCTCTCTGTTGGTATTTTATTAAGGCAAGAATAGAGTTAAAATATAACAAGTTTCACCCCAAAAATTCTGAAATGTTGTTTAAATATATAAATGAGGAATTAGATAATCTAATTAAAAATGCATTGATTTTCAAACATTTCCAGAACAGAAATCTGCACATTGGATGAAGCCGGGATTCTTGTTTGAGTTTGACATATTAAGGGTTTCTACGCAGGGGATTTTGGATTTCTCTTTTTATCACTCCATAAAAAATCTGAAAAAATGGTCAACGGACGTGAGAGAGATACAACTTTCATGTTTTTAGGAATTAAATGTTCATCAACAAACCTTCAGAATCTAGATAGGTATAACACTGTAAAGTATTTTTTGTTTGTAAAGCTGCTGACGTGGAGAAAAAAAGTATTATAATTTTATGAAACTCTAAACGCCCCAAAGTCTCAAAATTTACCAGTGCATGTTTTTGCCTGAATGTCTTAATCTAAAGGAGGAGTTCACTTCAGAATTAAAATCTCCTGATAATTTACTCTCCTCCCGCACGTCATCCAAGATGTTCATGTCTTTCTTTCTGCAGTGGAAAAGAAATGAAGGTTTTTGAGGAACACACTCCAGGGTTTCTCAATATAGTGACTTCAATGGGGTCCAACGAGTCGAAGGTCCAGATGTGAGTTTCAGTGCAGCTTCAAAGTCTCGACACGATCCAGGCGAGGAATAAGAGTCTGATCTAGACAAACCAGCGTACATTTATAACACAATACACATTTATATACTTTTAAACACTAATGCTGGTCTTGCACGAGCTGTGATGCGACACACATTACGTCATCAGGTTGAAAGGTCAAGCGGGACGTAGGCGGAAGAACCGACCCAGTGTTTACAAAGCCAACGTACAAAGACTAAGTCAAACGCCATTTACAAAAAAAAATAAAAGGTAAAACAACGATGTCGGAAGATTTAAAAGTTAGAGGAGAAACTGAGATTAAGTTTTTCGCCCTAACCTGAACCGGAACACGCGTGACCTTTCAACCTGTGTCGCATCACAGCTCGTGCAAGACCAGCATTAGTGTTTAAAAGTATATAAATGTGTATTGTGTTATAAATGTCCGCTGGTTTGTCTAGATCAGACTCTTATTCCTCGGCTGGATCGTGTCGAGACTTTGAAGCTGCACTGAAACTCACATCTGGACCTTCGACCCGTTGGACCCCATTGAAGACACTATATGGAGAAATCCTGGAGTGTGTTCCTCAAAAACCTTCATTTCTTTTCCACTGCAGAAAGAAAGGCATGAACATCTCGGATGACGTGTGGATGGTGTGTAAATTATAAGGAAAACTTACATATCTTTAATATCAGCTTTGATTAAACTGGACAAATGCTGGCGTGATACAGAAGCAGTCATAAATCATATCTCCTCGTGTGAAATACCATTAGCTTCTGTAGCTGTGGGGGGGAAATGCGAGCCGGCCGTGTTTGTGAGCTCCGCAGGGATCGGCCACGTACCCTCCTCGCTCTCAGCGTGAGTCTGGAGAGCAACACTGGGCGGCCGGGACAGGTTGGGCTCGGCCAGGCTGCGTCTCAGCTTGCACCTCTGCAAGGCCACGCTATAATCGGGCGGCTTTACGTGGGCTTTTCCTCCGTCCTGCACGAGTGTGTCGCCCAGACTCAGGCCCTGGTACCCCGGCGGGGTCGGGGGCGGCGCCGTGAACCTATCGTCTTTGCAGGGTGATGTTACACAGTACACTGGCAGGAAGCAGGAGGACAGGTGCAGGAAGTGATGTGATGGAGGGGAAGGAGCACAGAAAACACACACAAAACACACACAGACACAAGGCAAACATCAATTCAAGAAATGGGGTACGTAAATCAAAGAAACGGACACAAGCATGCACGAGACGCTGAACGCTTCACACCAACAGGGCACAGAAACACGTCCTGAACTTGTGCTTCTGCAACGTTTATCTCTCATAGAAGACATTTAAATATATAGAATCAGGGTTTGAAATGATCTTTTTCACTCACCGGCCAATTTGGCTACTAAACTTTTAAGTTACAGGCCATTCAGAACCAAAATAATAATAAATAAACCAGATTAACTACGTCACAGCTTTTATATATATTAGTGCTGTCAAACGATTAAAATATTTAATTGCGATTAATCGCATTAATGTCATAGTTAACTCGCGATTAATCGCATTAATGTCATAGTTAACTCGCGATTAATCGCACATTTTTATCTATTCTAAATGTCTCTTGATTTCTTTTTGTCCCATTATTTTTTCTCATTTTAATGCTCTTATCAACATGGAAAAGTGGATCGGCTTGCTTTGTGCAAATGTTTTTTATTGAAACCAACATTGGCATATACTGTGTTCAATTTCACACTAACATTCTCACTTGGAGCAAATAATCTCTCACACACGAGGTCCTGATATTGACGAGGGGGCGGAGAATTCACATCAGCTGTATGTGTGTGTGTGTGTGTGTGTGCTTGGCCATCATCAAGTGGTGTTTCAGACTGGACGTGCTGCGATGATGATAGCTCAGTTCACAACGACAACACACACAGATCACTCTGGTCTCGTCAATAGAAACATTTGGCAACTTTTTAAAAGTAAACTTTCCATTCAGAATCGTATTGGCATCCATTTCGGTGTCTCGCACTCGTCATCCACTCAAAAGGTAGTGGTCTAGCTACCTCTAGAGTTAGGCGATATATTTACAATATTTGTAATTTTCAACCACAGTAAGGAACGCCATCACATTATAGTAATTCTGCCTGAAATCAGAGATATTACTAGTTGAAAATAAAGGTAATCTTTTAACGGACAACCACCTTTTTGAGCATAGATGAGAAAATGCACTATCCAGATACATCTGACTTTGATTAAACTGATGTCTTTACTGTAAAAGTGTATCTAGACACCAGTTTGTGCCCTATTTGTGGAAAGCGCAGGACGTCCTGGGTAAATCGCTCTAATGATGTACAGTGGTCAACATGTGAAGTGGATCAAAAAAGTTCATCAAAGTTCATGTATAACTTTGATGAAAGGTTTTGATCCACTTCAAATGTTGACTACAATATATATATATATATATATATATATGTGTGTGTGTGTGTCCTCGAGGTATCAAGACACAAGCACTCAGCAGCGTAAGCCAAAAGAGCTGCACATTGAGAGGACAGTGAAATCTGCCGTGTCACGTGTAGAAGCCGAAGCTCGCGCTCACCTATGAGTCCCTTCTCCGTGCTGGACGTGATCATCTTGTAGGCAGGATCTGTGGTGTTCTGCCCGTCGGAGGCGGCGTGATCTGCGCTCTTGCGTTTGATGGTGCCGTAGCTTCCCTCATACGTGTCCGACAGCGAGCTCGAGGACCGGCTGGGCTCAGAGCCGTCTCTGGACCCCCCCGGGCCGGGCTCCACCTCAGCGATCGGGCCGCCCATGGGCGTGTGGCGGTGGGTGAGCAGGTCCGGGGCACGCGGGCCGGGGAGAGTCTGGAGGCTGTCGTGGGAGTTACTGGAGCAGGAGGTCCAGCTCCCGCGCCCGCTGTCGGCCATCTCAGAGACCGAGGAGTGATTCGGCACCGTCAGCTCCTCACCGCTCGTCGAACACGGGACGCTGGACTCCCTCATCGCAGAGGGGCGAGGTGAAGGTGAGCTAGGGCCAAAGACAAGTGCACAGTGACTGAGTCGAAAATAGAGTCAATAACTGGAGTTAATAACTGGAGTCAAAAACTGGAGACTTATAACTGGAGTCAATAACTGGAGACTTATAACTGGAGTCAATAACTGGAGACTTATAACTGGAGACTTATAACTGGAGTTAATAACTGGAGTCAATAACTGGAGACTTATAACTGGAGTTAATAACTGGAGTCAATAACTGGAGACTTATAACTGGAGACTTATAACTGAAGTCAATAACTGGAGTCAATAACTGGAGACTTATAACTGAAGTCAATAACTGGAGACTTATAACTGGAGACTTATAACTGAAGTCAATAACTGGAGTCAATAACTGGAGACTTATAACTGGAGACTTATAACTGAAGTCAATAACTGGAGTCAATAACTGGAGACTTATAACTGAAGTCAATAACTGGAGTCAATAACTGGAGACTTATAACTGAAGTCAATAACTGGAGTCAATAACTGGAGTCAATAACTGGAGACTTATAACTGGAGTTAATAACTGGAGTCAATAACTGGAGTCAATAACTGGAGACTTATAACTGGAGACTTATAACTGAAGTCAATAACTGGAGTCAATAACTGGAGACTTATAACTGAAGTCAATAACTGGAGTCAATAACTGGAGACTTATAACTGAAGTCAATAACTGGAGTCAATAACTGGAGACTTATAACTGGAGTTAATAACTGGAGTCAATAACTGGAGTCAATAACTGGAGACTTATAACTGGAGACTTATAACTGAAGTCAATAACTGGAGTCAATAACTGGAGACTTATAACTGAAGTCAATAACTGGAGTCAATGACTGGAGACTTATAACTGGAGTCAATAACTGGAGTCAATAACTGGAGTCAATAACTGGAGACTTATAACTGGAGACTTATAACTGGAGTCAATAACTGGAGTCAATTACTGGAGACTTATAACTAGAGTCAATAACTGGAGTCAATAACTGGAGACTTATAACTGGAGACTTACAACTGGAATCAATAACTGGAGTCAATAACTGGAGACTTATAACTGGAATCAATAGCTGAAGTCAATAACTGGAGACTTATAACTGGAGTCAATAACTGAAGTCAATAACTGGAGTCAATAACTGGAGTCAATAACTGGAGTCAATAACTGGAGACTCATAACTGAAGTCAATAACTGGAGACTTATAACTGAAGTCAATAACTGGAGTCAATAACTGAAGTCAATAACTGGAGTCAATAACTGAAGTCAATAACTGGAGTCAATAACTGGAGACTTATAACTGGAGTCAATAACTGGAGTCAATAACTGGAGTCAATAACTGGAGACTTATAACTGGAGACTTACAACTGGAATCAATAGCTGAAGTCAATAACTGGAGACTTATAACTGGAGTCAATAACTGGAGTCAATAACTGGAGTCAATAACTGAAGTCAATAACTGGAGTCAATAACTGGAGACTTATAACTGAAGTCAATAACTGGAGTCAATAACTGGAGACAATAACTGGAGACTTATAACTGAAGTCAATAACTGGAGTCAATAACTGGAGACTTATAACTGAAGTCAATAACTGGAGTCAATAACTGGAGTCAATAACTGGAGTCAATAACTGGAGTCAATAACTGGAGACTTATAACTGAAGTCAATAACTGGAGTCAATAACTGGAGTCAATAACTGAAGTCAATAACTGGAGTCAATAACTGGAGACTTATAACTGGAGTCAATAACTGAAGTCAATAACTGGAGTCAATAACTGAAGTCAATAACTGGAGTCAATAACTGGAGTCAATAACTGGAGACTTATAACTGAAGTCAATAACTGGAGTCAATAACTGGAGTCAATAACTGGAGACTTATAACTGAAGTCAATAACTGAAGTCAATAACTGGAGTCAATAACTGAAGTCAATAACTGGAGTCAATAACTGGAGTCAATAACTGGAGACTTATAACTGAAGTCAATAACTGGAGTCAATAACTGGAGTCAATAACTGGAGACTTATAACTGAAGTCAATAACTGAAGTCAATAACTGGAGTCAATAACTGAAGTCAATAACTGAAGTCAATAACTGGAGTCAATAACTGGAGTCAATAACTGAAGTCAATAACTGGAGTCAATAACTGGAGTCAATAACTGGAGTCAATAACTGAAGTCAATAACTGGAGTCAATAACTGGAGTCAATAACTGGAGACTTATAACTGAAGTCAATAACTGAAGTCAATAACTGGAGTCAATAACTGAAGTCAATAACTGGAGTCAATAACTGGAGTCAATAACTGGAGACTTATAACTGAAGTCAATAACTGGAGTCAATAACTGGAGACTTATAACTGAAGTCAATAACTGGAGTCAATAACTGGAGTCAATAACTGGAGTCAATAACTGGAGACTTATAACTGAAGTCAATAACTGGAGTCAATAACTGGAGTCAATCACTGGAGTCAATAACTGAAGTCAATAACTGGAGTCAATAACTGGAGACTTATAACTGGAGTCAATAACTGAAGTCAATAACTGGAGTCAATAACTGAAGTCAATAACTGGAGTCAATAACTGGAGTCAATAACTGGAGACTTATAACTGAAGTCAATAACTGGAGTCAATAACTGGAGACTTATAACTGAAGTCAATAACTGGAGTCAATAACTGGAGACTTATAACTGAAGTCAATAACTGAAGTCAATAACTGGAGTCAATAACTGAAGTCAATAACTGGAGTCAATAACTGGAGTCAATAACTGGAGTCAATAACTGGAGACTTATAACTGGAGTCAATAACTGAAGTCAATAACTGGAGTCAATAACTGAAGTCAATAACTGGAGTCAATAACTGGAGTCAATAACTGGAGACTTATAACTGAAGTCAATAACTGGAGTCAATAACTGGAGACTTATAACTGAAGTCAATAACTGGAGTCAATAACTGGAGACTTATAACTGAAGTCAATAACTGGAGTCAATAACTGGAGACTTATAACTGGAGTCAATAACTGGAGTCAATAACTGGAGTCAATAACTGAAGTCAATAACTGGAGTCAATAACTGGAGTCAATAACTGGAGACTTATAACTGGAGTCAATAACTGAAGTCAATAACTGGAGTCAATAACTGAAGACTTATAACTGGAGTCAATAACTGGAGACTTATAACTGGAGTTAATAACTGGAGACTTATAACTGGAGTCAATAACTGGAGACTTATAACTGGAGTCAATAACTGAAGTCAATAACTGGAGTCAATAACTGGAGTCAATAACTGGAGTCAATAACTGGAGTCAATAACTGGAGTCAATAACTGGAGACTTATAACTGGAGTCAATAACTGGAGTCAATAACTGGAGTCAATAACTGGAGACTTATAACTGGAGTCAATAACTGGAGTCAATAACTGAAGTCAATAACTGGAGTCAATAACTGGAGTCAATAACTGGAGTCAATAACTGGAGTCAATAACTGGAGTCAATAACTGGAGACTTATAACTGAAGTCAATAACTGGAGTCAATAACTGGAGTCAATAACTGAAGTCAATAACTGGAGTCAATAACTGGAGTCAATAACTGAAGTCAATAACTGGAGTCAATAACTGGAGTCAATAACTGAAGTCAATAACTGGAGACTTATAACTGGAGTCAATAACTGGAGACTTATAACTGGAGTCAATAACTGGAGACTTATAACTGGAGACTTATAACTGGAGTCAATAACTGGAGTCAATAACTGGAGTCAATAACTGGAATCTATGACTGGAGTCAATAACTGGAGTCAATAACTGAAGTCAATAACTGGAGTCAATAACTGGAGTCAATAACTGGAGTCAATAACTGGAGTCAATAACTGGAGACTTATAACTGGAGTCAATAACTGGAGTCAATAACTGGAGACTTATAACTGGAGACTTATAACTGGAGTCAATAACTGGAGTCAATAACTGGAGACTTATAACTGGAGTCAATAACTGGAGTCAATAACTGGAGACTTATAACTGAAGTCAATAACTGGAGACTTATAACTGGAGTCAATAACTGGAGACTTATAACTGGAGTCAATAACTGGAGACTTATAACTGGAGACTTATAACTGGAGTCAATAACTGGAGTCAATAACTGGAGTCAATAACTGGAGTCAATAACTGGAATCTATGACTGGAGTCAATAACTGGAGTCAATAACTGAAGTCAATAACTGGAGTCAATAACTGGAGTCAATAACTGGAGACTTATAACTGGAGTCAATAACTGGAGTCAATAACTGGAGACTTATAACTGGAGACTTATAACTGGAGTCAATAACTGGAGTCAATAACTGGAGACTTATAACTGGAGTCAATAACTGGAGTCAATAACTGGAGACTTATAACTGGAGTCAATAACTGGAGACTTATAACTGGAGACTTATAACTGGAGTCAATAACTGGAGTCAATAACTGGAGTCAATAACTGGAGTCAATAACTGGAGTCAATAACTGGAGACTTATAACTGGAGTCAATAACTGGAGTCAATAACTGGAGACTTATAACTGGAGTCAATAACTGAAGACTTATAACTGGAGTCAATAACTGGAGTCAATTACTGGAGTCAATCACTGGAGACTTATAACTGGAGTCAATAACTGGAGTCAATAACTGGAGTCAATAACTGGAGACTTATAACTGGAGTCAATAACTGGAGACTTATAACTGGAGTCAATAACTGGAGTCAATAACTGAAGTCAATCACTGGAGACTTATAACTGGAGTCAATAACTGGAGACTTATAACTGGAGTCAATAACTGAAGTCAATAACTGGAGACTTATAACTGGAGTCAATAACTGGAGACTTATAACTGGAGTCAATAACTGGAGTCAATAACTGGAGACTTATAACTGGAGTCAATAACTGGAGTCAATAACTGGAGACTTATAACTGGAGACTTATAACTGGAGTCAATAACTGGAGTCAATAACTGGAGACTTATAACTGGAGTCAATAACTGGAGTCAATAACTGGAGACTTATAACTGGAGTCAATAACTGGAGTCAATAACTGGAGTCAATAACTGGAGTCAATAACTGGAGACTTATAACTGGAGACTTATAACTGGAGTCAATAACTGGAGTCAATAACTGGAGACTTATAACTGGAGTCAATAACTGGAGTCAATAACTGGAGACTTATAACTGGAGTCAATAACTGGAGACTTATAACTGGAGACTTATAACTGGAGTCAATAACTGGAGTCAATAACTGGAGTCAATAACTGGAGACTTATAACTGGAGTCAATAACTGGAGACTTATAACTGGAGACTTATAACTGGAGTCAATAACTGGAGTCAATAACTGGAGTCAATAACTGGAGTCAATAACTGGAGACTTATAACTGGAGTCAATAACTGGAGTCAATAACTGGAGACTTATAACTGGAGTCAATAACTGAAGACTTATAACTGGAGTCAATAACTGGAGACTTATAACTGAAGTCAATAACTGGAGACTTATAACTGGAGTCAATAACTGGAGTCAATAACTGGAGTCAATCACTGGAGACTTATAACTGGAGTCAATAACTGGAGTCAATAACTGGAGTCAATAACTGGAGACTTATAACTGGAGTCAATAACTGGAGACTTATAACTGGAGTCAATAACTGGAGTCAATAACTGAAGTCAATCACTGGAGACTTATAACTGGAGTCAATAACTGGAGTCAATAACTGGAGACTTATAACTGGAGTCAATAACTGGAGTCAATAACTGGAGTCAATAACTGGAGACTTATAACTGGAGACTTGTAACTGGAGACTTATAACTGGAGACTTATAACTGGAGTCAGTGTGAGTTGCAGTCTGACAAGTTTTTAAGCACCTTTTTGATTGACAGGATATAACTGGTGTTAAAACATCTGCTGTTTTTAACCAATCGCCTGATTCAAAAAGCATTATGTTACCCATAATCAATTTCGAACTTCACAATTCAACAGAGCGCTGAGGTGTTGTGTGATATGCACCTGGTGCCGGGCTGGGTGAGGTCAGCGTGAGTGTGTGCGGGCGTCTCTGACGGGCAGCTGGCGGTGTTCGCTGTGAGCATGGAGTCCACAGAGCAGTTACTGACGATGCTGGAGCGGGACGAGATCTCGCTGGAGTCGGACAGCTCAGATCTGGCGACCGGCATCAGGGCGTAACCTGTCAGAGAGAGCAGACAGGAGATCAGTGTGTGCGCCGTCACACTCGCAGGACATCATGAGCACGACACGGAGCCAACACAGCAATGCAAACATCTGCCTTTATTACACAACTCACAGCCAGATCATTAAAGTGAAGAACCATGGCACAATCACAACACATCTCAACTCATCTGCTCTCAGAACAACACATCAACACATCAACACATCAACTCATCAACTCATCAACTCATCAACTCATCAACTCCTCTGCTCTCTGAACAATGACATCACACTTAAAAGCACTTCAAAGATCCTGCCATCATTCACTCAACTCGTGTGAAACAAATGGTGAGGGTTTTGTGTGAAAAATAACCAATAATGAGTCACACACTCGATCTAATGGTGTTGCGATCGCCATCAAACCTGTCAGCTTTGAGAGAAAACTGTGAGTGAATGTGTCTCGATGATGATGATGATGATGACAGGACCTTCATCAACTCCTCTGCTCTCTGAACAATGCATGACATCACACTTAAAAGCACTGCAAAGATCCTGCCATCATTCACTCAACTCGTGTGAAACCCAATAATGGATCACACACTCTCGATCTAATCGTGTCTAAATGATCTAAATGTGTCTCGATGATGATGATGATGATGACAGGATCTCTGGCTGAACTAGTGTTTAACATGTGAACAGTAATCACACAGTTTTGCTCCTGCAGTGTCTGTCTGTCTTCTCAGTGTGTTTCAGACTGTCTGTCTGCTGTCTCAACGCCTCGGCTCTGTCCCTGGACTCGCTCCTGTCTCTAAAGAGTGTGAAGGGGGACCTGAAGCGCTTGCGTGGCTTCTCTGGCTGTCTATTCTCCTGCTGTCTGTCGCTCTGACACGTCATCTTCAGCATCTGTCTATGAAGGAAAGCCCCACCTATGCCGTACGTGCGCGCGGGCGCGCGAGTGTTGACCTCGCTGGCCAGAGACGACGACGAGCCCGACAGATTCAGTCTGGGAGCTGCGCCTGCTGGGAGAGAGTCATGGGAACATTTCAGGATCAATTCGATTCACATGTATTTGTATAGACCCCTTTTGAGTTGGTAAACACGGTGACGGTTTGTGTGTGGGCGGAGCTTAGGTGGAGGCAGAACGATCCCTCTGGCCGCTTCTCTAGCGCTTCTCTAGAAAATCCGATTTTATCTTAGTGTGCAAGGTCACTCAGTGTCCAGGACCGCGATTGTTATTTGTAAAAGTTAATTTTAACGGACGGAACCAGATTGGCCGACCCGTACACGCTCACTCAATGATGGACCATCTGACAGGATTAACGCTAAGGCCGGAGACACACTGGCTGCGTGGCGTGAGCGTCTCAGCTGCGTGGCGTGTCCGTTTTTATTTCGGCTCCCATGTTAACAGGTTAGAGCTTGCACACTGCCTGCGTGACACGCGCGTGCGCGGAAAACGCGTGCATGCTAGAAATAGAACCGACGCCTATTTTTCACGCGACACGCAAGCGTGTTGGAAGCGTTTGCAGGCAAAATAGTATAGGAAAAGATGTTTATATGTCATTTTGTACACGAATACATATTAATAAATTACATTTTGATGTTTGAAAATCTAGGTTTTGACATAAATTCAGATAGAAAATGTCTTTCTTTTTTTTAATCCCATTATTTTTGCCTATATAATTTCATGTCATTTTATTTTTTAAACAGTCGAGTCCTAGTGTCCACTACAGAGGTCATAGCATATAAATAAAATATAGCCTATATATATTTTCATTTGTTTCTAATGCTCTTAACAATGTGATTACATGAAAAAAAAAATCAAAAAAATTCTTTGAAAAAACTTTCTGGGCCTCAGGAGGATATAAAGTTAGGATAGGCTACAATAACATCGTAGTGTGTCTTCTGAGTGACGGTCCAACATCAGGTAGGCTAAATATAGGCTCTTTAAAGCTACACACAATTTGTAAATGTTATTGAAATAAACAGACAGCCGCATGTTTCCCTATTTTTCGGATTTTGGAAGATGCGTGATAAAAGTTGAAATTGTTGTCGTAAAGGCAAGAGCAACAGTAATTCAAATGTAGACTGGTCTGTCGGCGCCCTCCCTCTATGTCACATATAGCGAATATGTATTCGTGTACGCCACGCAGCGCCGCGTCAGACACGCTTCTGGTGTGCAAAGACACAGAAAACGCGACGCAGCCGCCATGCAGCTGACACGCAACAGAAACGCCACGCTCACGCCACGCAGCCAGTGTGTCTCCGGCTTAACGCTAACGCTACCTCCGCTCGAGTGGCCTGACTTCTACACCTATCCGATAGAGAAACCGAGCGTAAACAGAAACTGAGGGCGTATAAATCTATAACTATGTGCTGAATGGTCATGTAAAGACTTGTGTGTACGATCCGCAGTTCTGCCGAGCCAGCGCCGAGAAGACGACACTGTAAAGAGTGACATTACGGTGCAATTTTAATGATGTGAATATTTTCTAGAAATAAAGATTCCATTCATTTTTCATCGATTCTTGCACCCAACAACACAACAAGATGACATTTAATAATAATAATTTAAGCTCCTCATTATGTAGCCGAATCTGTGCTGGTTTGTATTGGCCGCCTCCAGTTGTCCGTTTGTTTTGCCTCCAGCTAGCGCCGTGGCGTAACTGTGACGTCGGCGCTAAAGGGGTCTATAGCGCTTTCACAATACACATCGCTTCAAAGCAGCTTTACAGAACATGCACGAGTCCACATTACTGTTATCGGAGGAAACTGTCCAAGTTATGTATTTCAGAATCAATGAATCATGGGAATACTTCAGAATCAGTAAAGCCTTAATGCATGAATATCATTAAAGACACAATTAACCCTGTAATGCCTGACATATGAAATAATAGTATTTTGAAATGGAAGTTTATTGGGCCTTTTAACAACATAATTAAAAATAAATCTAGTGCATATAAAAATAGTGCTGGGCATCCAAAATAAAAGTTTGAGTTTACATAATATATGTGTGTGTGCTGTGTATATATAAATACACACACATGCATGTATATATTTAAGATAAATTAGTTATTTATATATAATATAAATTATGTATACAAATATATACATGCAAATATTTCTTAAATATATACATGCATGTGTGTGTGTGTGTGTGTGTGTATTTATATATACACAGTACACACATATATATTATGCAAACACAAACTTTTATTTTGGATGTGATTAATGGCGATTAATGGTTGCCCAGCACTATTATATTTATATGGCCCAAAACTAAGATGAGATTCTGATGCTTGTGATGTAAATCAATGAGATCTTTATAACAGTATAGCAGACACTGACATAAAATCATATAAAATCACTCTCGTCACTCTATATCTGCCAATAATGTCTTAGTAAGATCATATTTAATAGTTTTGAAACATTTGCAATACAACGATGATTGAGAGATGAAAAAATAAACGTGATCAAAAGCCTTATGATCATATTTGATGCATGATTTAAAAAAAAACGATGTGTGGATAATCAAGTAAACCGAAGCTGCTTTACTCTGAAATAATACTGACAATATGAAAGTTATTCTTATGTTTCCTTGATATAAATCAGTGCAGATTCGACAGCAGAAACACACGAGCTGAAGGAGGACGATTGTACAATTACACTAAAAGACTTTCACTTGATAAAAGAGTCTAAACTCTCAGTCAGAGACAGAAGGGATGGAGGAGATTGTGTGCGACAGGTTTATTGATCATGTTAGAGGCCGTAGAAATGTGCGTATCTAATATGATATACAGTAGCTTTACAGGGTTAGCTTCTGCTCCAGTGCGGCCGCTATCTTTAGTCATGTCTTTATGTGTGTGTGTGTGCGTGTGCGTGTGTGTGTGTGTGTGTGTGTGCGTGTGTGTGTGCGCGTGCCTATGTATGCATGCATTTGTATATGTGTGTGCGTGCATGAAAAAAAGTGTCCTAAATGAAAACTGTGCAACCCAATGTCACAAAAAAGACTTGTATATTTGAAGAGTTTGGTTCCAAAACGCAATAAATCCATTTAGATTAATTTGAGTAAAAATGTGTTTTCTTTACCAAGAAAGTGGAAAGATGAAAACCACTATTTTCTGTTTCAATCTTTCACATAGCATTTGAAGGTCATAATAACAACAAAAATTAAAACACAGGTTTTGATTTTCAAAGATTTATTATAAAAACGGATTATTTTTCCCCCCAAAATGCAATAAAACCATTGAATCAATATAAAAGTCGTTTTTTCTCATATTGAAGCTGTTGAAAATACACAACAACGTAAGTTTATTAGTATAATATTTTTATTAAGAACTGTAAAGAAGATTGAAAACATCTGTCCTCCTCCTCGAGTGCCTCATCTTCTTAATCTCCTCCCGTAAATGATTCGATTTCGATGCCTTATGTTTCTCACCCACCGCAGAAACAACCTCAGGTTCATCAATGCCCTGAGAATTATTCTTTTTTTTGTTTGTTTGTTGATCGAAAAGTACAAAATAGATCAGAAAAACTAGGAAGCCGGGTGTGTTTAAGGCGCTGCCGTTACTGTTTACATTGCGTGGAATGGTGCGTTGTGATTGGTTGAGAGTGGAATGGTGCGTTGTGATTGGTTGAGAGTGGAATGGTGCGTTGTGATTGGTTGAGAGTGGAATGGTGCGTTGTGATTGGTTGAGAGTGGAATGGTGCGTTGTGATTGGTTGAGAGTGGAATGGTGCGTTGTGATTGGTTGAGAGTGGAATGGTGCGTTGTGATTGGTTGAGAGTGGAATGGTGCGTTGTGATTGGTTGAGAGTGGAATGGTGCGTTGTGATTGGTTGAGAGTGGAATGGTGCGTTGTGATTGGTTGAGAGTGGAATGGTGCGTTGTGATTGGTTGAGAGCGGATATATCGCATTCTGCAGAGAAGAGAGACTGGCGTTTGTCGCGGTTTGGAAAGAAAGGGAGAAAACATGACAGAATAACACGGCGGATATCGCATTTTACTTAAAATTAAACATTGACTTTTCAATACCAACCAGATACAATACTGATTTTTGCAGTAACTAATTTTTTTTTTTAAATGCCATTTATCGCGTTTTGGAACCAAACTCTTCATATGTATTACAGTTCATTTTTCAACTTTAAAGTGTTAGTTTCTTTCCTTCGTGATTTTTCTGTTTCTAAATAAAAATCAGTAAATTTATTCTCGTTTTTTTTGTTTTTTTTTACAAACTCACCACACACAGTAATGGTCAATAACTGTAATTTGTTGAAAGCTATTTTTTTGTTCTGCAAAAGATGACACCTTGCACATGAAGATGGCACATTGTTTTAGAATTTTACAGTCAAAAAACCTAAATATGTGAAAAACACCTATTTTAGCTTCAGGGTCTAAAGGGTTAAAAAAATATATATATATATATAATTATTTTCCTTTATCCTCGCTTGTCTGGCTTATGCTACTCTAAGCAACGCCTGAACTGTATTTTGAGCACCTCTTGCGTTGTTTTTGCCTCTTCACGATGACCCGCTTGCTGTATTCCTCATTTGTTAGTCGCTTTGGACAACGGCGTCTGCTAAATGTAAATGCTTCTGTTTTGCAGTGACTGAGATGGATTGTCGTACCTTTGCGAGGAGATCCCTGAGGGGAGCCGGTGGGACTGGAGTGCAGGGACGAGGCGGTGGACGGGTCTTCGGCTCTCTTCACGCTCGCGTCATCGGCTCTCTTCAGCGTCTGAGGCGAGCTGGGACCTGGAGGAAGGAAGGAAACTCACCGATCTCAGATAGAAATCACAAAGTGCTTTAAAAAGAACACAGATAACACTATCAGAGCTAAAAACAAAAACTAAAAGCTTGTCTAAATAAAAGATGTCACTGACGTACGACTGTCTCACTAAACCAGACGCTTCTTATGAAGAAAGGCTAGGTAAAATAAGTCAATATTATACATTATACCAGTCTCGAGTCGCACGGGTGTGTCTGTGGCAATAGCCAACAATACATTGTATGGGTCAAAATGATCGATTTTTCTTTTATACCAAAAATCATTAGGATATTAAGTGAAGCTCATGTTCCATGAAGATATTTTGTACATTTCCTACCGTAAATATATCAAAAATGTATTTTTGTGAGTGAATGCGGCTCAATCGCCAACATAAATGCACAACTTTAAAGGAGATTTTCTAAATGTTTACATTATTTTTGCACCCTCAGATTTTCAATAGTAGTATCTCTGCCAAATATTGCCCTATCCTAACACACCATACACCAACGGAAAGCTGATTTATTCAGCTTTCAGATCATGGTGCATAAATCTCAATTTAAAAAAAGTCTACTCTGGTTTTGTGCTTGAGGGTCACATATGTAAAATGATGGAATTGTGTGTGAGGACCCAAAATAAAAAAATTCATCTTTGATCTGGAATTTTTGGATATATGGACTGGAAACAAGAGAAAAATACTAAGTAAGAAAAGCATTTTTTGCAGTGCAGATGTTTCTAATGAAAAAAGGCTAGATAAAATAAGTCAAAATTATGTCTGTAAAATGATGGCAATGTGTGTGAGGACCACGGGTCACGTACTGAAGGAGGCGCTCAGGTCTTTAGCGAGGCTCTTCTTGCGCAGCGGGTACAGGCTGACGGGAGGAACCTGGAGCACCTGAGACACACGGCTCTGAGGCCTGGAGGACGACACACCCGAGCGCAGCGACACCGGAGACATGTCCGGCTTAGCGGAGCGCCGCTCGTTCAGGCTCTTCGACACTGCGGGAACACACACACACACACACACACACACACACACACAACATCAGGAACTGAGTTTAAGTGACAGATCATCATAGTGTTCTTCGACACTGCAGGAACACACACACACACACACACACACACACACACACACACACACACACACACACACACACACACACACACACACACACACACACACACACACACACACACACACACACACACACACACACACAACATCAGGAACTGAGTTTAAGTGACAGATCATCATAGTGTTCTTCAACACTGCAGGAACACACACACACACACACACACACACACACACACACACACACACACACACACACACACACACAACATCAGGAACTGAGTTTAAGTGACAGATCATCATAGTGTTCTTCAACACTGCAGGAACACACACACACACACACACACACACACACACACACACACACAACATCAGGAACTGAGTTTAAGTGACAGATCATCATAGTGTTCTTCGACACAGCAGGAACACACACACACACACACACACACACACACACACACACACACACACACACACACAACATCAGGAACTGAGTTTGAGTGACAGATCATCATAGTGTTCTTCAACACAGCAGGAACACACACACACACACACACACACACACACACACACAACATCAGGAACTGAGTTTAAGTGACAGATCATCATAGTGTTCTTCAACACAGCAGGAACACACACACACACACACACACACACACACACACAACAACATCAGGAACTGAGTTTAAGTGACAGATCATCATAGTGTTCTTCGACACAGCAGGAACACACACACACACACACACACACACACACACAACATCAGGAACTGAGTTTAAGTGACAGATCATCATAGTGTTCTTCAACACAGCAGGAACACACACACACACACACACACACACACACACACACACAACAACATCAGGAACTGAGTTTAAGTGACAGATCATCATAGTGTTCTTCGACACTGCAGGAACACACACACACACACACACACACACACACACACAACATCAGGAACTGAGTTTGAGTGACAGATCATCATAGTGTTCTTCGACACTGCAGGAACACACACACACACACACACACACACACACACACAACAACATCAGGAACTGAGTTTGAGTGACAGATCATCATAGTGTTCTTCGACACTGCAGGAACACACACACACACACACACACACACACACACACACACACACAACATCAGGAACTGAGTTTGAGTGACAGATCATCATAGTGTTCTTCGACACTGCAGGAACACACACACACACACACACACACACACACACACACAACATCAGGAACTGAGTTTAAGTGACAGATCATCATAGTGTTCTTCGACACAGCAGGAACACACACACACACACACACACACACACACACACACACACACACACACACACACACACACAACATCAGGAACTGAGTTTAAGTGACAGATCATCATAGTGTTCTTCAACACTGCAGGAACACACACACACACACACACACACACACACACACACACACACACACACACACACAACATCAGGAACTGAGTTTAAGTGACAGATCATCATAGTGTTCTTCGACACAACAGGAACACACACACACACACACACACACACACACACACACAACATCAGGAACTGAGTTTAAGTGACAGATCATCATAGTGTTCTTCAACACTGCAGGAACACACACACACACACACACACAACATCAGGAACTGAGTTTAAGTGACAGATCATCATAGTGTTCTTCGACACAGCAGGAACACACACACACACACACACACACACACAACATCAGGAACTGAGTTTAAGTGACAGATCATCATAGTGTTCTTCAACACAGCAGGAACACACACACACACACACACACACACGCACACACACACACACACACAACAACATCAGGAACTGAGTTTGAGTGACAGATCATCATAGTGTTCTTCAACACTGCAGGAACACACACACACACACACACACACACACACACACACACACACAACAACATCAGGAACTGAGTTTGAGTGACAGATCATCATAGTGTTCTTCGACACAGCAGGAACACACACACACACACACACACACACACAACATCAGGAACTGAGTTTAAGTGACAGATCATCATAGTGTTCTTCAACACAGCAGGAACACACACACACACACACACACACACACACACACACACACACACACACACACACACACACACACACACAACAACATCAGGAACTGAGTTTGAGTGACAGATCATCATAGTGTTCTTCGACACTGCAGGAACACACACACACACACACACACACACACACACACACAACATCAGGAACTGAGTTTAAGTGACAGATCATCATAGTGCTCTATAATTTTAACATACGCAACTTTTGATTTTAATAATATATTAGTAAATGTTGAAATAAACAATAAATGCTGTAGAAATATTGTTATTGCTAGTTCAGGTTAACTAATGTAGAGATAACAAACCGTATTGTAAAGTGTTAAACTTGCAGTGTTGGATGGAAACAGAGCTGCTGACATTCATCCATTAGTGCTAAACACGAGGCTATGGTAACTCTCCACAGTCTGAGCTGAACTAAAAGGACCAGATCGTTTCAATAAGCCATTATCATCACAAACATGAACACAACTAGAGCTACTGAGCTCTTCTACTAATCAGCTGAATCACAGCATCAGGAAAATCAAGCAATATTATTCAATATTACATCTAGCACTTTCCCTTCCGCCCACCAGATGGCAGTGACCAGCCGTGTGACATCGGGGCCGGCTGCACAAACCTAGCCACTAGACTGTGTCTAAAAAACTCATTTGGCCAACTAGAAATTAGTCAAGAGGTAATCAGTCTTACTTTTCTGATTCAAATTAGGCTGATCTCCCGCTTTATGTAACTGACTTTAAAAAGTTAGCACCAGTCTTGAAGAAAAATTTAGACGACTAACTTTTAAGACTAGTCTAAGCTGTTTATGCTAACGGCCTCTGGACAGCTGGAGTAGCAGGAACAGTAACTGGGGGCTTTCACACCGGAGGAACCTTTCCTAGATCCTACCATAGATCTCCATAATAAAGGCTAGATGTCTCGTCCGCGCTGCCGGCCAATGGAGGTCGACGTCCACACTGGCGGCCATCTTGCCACAGGCAGCTCGCTCACTCGTAACATTGTGTTTTAATGGTGCATGTACTTTTTAAATAACCATAACTTGCTCAATTTTCAACCGATTTTCAAACGGTTTGGTTTGTTATAAACGTCAGAGATGTAGTTATGACACTGCACACTTGTGAATAATAAGTGTATCAATAAACAATCATTCAGAATTACAGCCACGTTAATAACGTTTGTAAGAAACCAAACCGTTTGTAAATCCGTCAAGATTTCAACGAGATAAGAGTATTTGTGTTCGTGCTGATCACTCATCTTACATCAGGCACCACAGAGCCCGCCAGAACGCTTGCCTGTGACAAGATGGCCGCCGGTGATGACGATAGAGACTCCGCCGTGAGACATCTAGCCTTTATTATGGATATATCTATGGTTCCCACGACTATTGGTGGAAGTCCACGGATGTTGGCGCGTTCGCACCGCAGGAACTGGGAACGATTTGAGCTCTAGGAACTCCTTTGAGGAACTAATTTACTCGTCCTTCAGAGTCGGTCTAGACCAGCGCTATAGGAGCTACAGTGGCGTTAGTGTTCTCTGATTGGCCGAATGCACGTGAAACACCAGCACCCGCCATTTAAAAAAAGCTGTGTAAACACACAGATTATAGCCTATATATTTACTCCACAAACTAACTCTACGAACATGTAAAACAGGGATAGATGGACGTCTCAAGCTTTACACTGAGGAGAAACTCCAACACAACTCTGAGGAGACCGAGAGAATCATGATGATGTGTTTCTGCTCAGCAACACTGGATATCAACACACGGCATACGATAATAACTCTTCATCACTGTCGACTATCTGTGTATTAATTCTAGTGTGGATTTTTCAACAATATTCACACATGACAGTAAAATATGGCATTCTGAGTCAATAAACTGCAGTATTTCCTCTCTCAATCTGTAGAAAATGTGGTTAACACTCAGTCACGCTTGAAAATATACCGTGAAACCGGTCTTATTTAGAAAAATACACTGATACAAATGTTTGCCGCTCATTCGCACAACAAGTGTTTGGAGGTTCGAGAACACAAACCTTTTTTAAAACGTTACCATAAACGTAAAAATGTCGTTTTAGTCACACTTTAGATTCTATTTGTGTGAAACTTAATGTGCTGCTGTCTTAACCAGGTCTCTGGACGAAGAGATAGCGATATCTCCTGGTTCAGAAAGTCTGCTTCTACATCACCCTGAAGCGGTTTGGCAAGCATTTTTAACTTATTCATTTCCAGGATATGAATTGTTGATATCAAGAATTGATTTCTTACTAGTAGAAATATAATTTTTGATATCAATAATTACATTGTTACTAGTAAAAATGCGAATTCCTGATATCAATAATTAAATTGTCACTAGTTAAAATGTCTATTCTTGATATCAACAACTGAATTGCTACTAGTAAAAAATTTCATTTTTCATATCTGAAAATGTATTTCTGATATCAATAATATTTCAGATATCTAAAATGGCTTTCTTACTAGTAACAATCACATTCATGATATCAGAAATGAACATTGTCTCTAGTGAAAACTGAATTATTGATATCAGAAATGAACATTGTTACTAGTAGCATTTCAATTGTTGATATCAAGAATAGAAATTTCAATTGTTATCATTTGGATCATCATTTGTTAGTCATTTGGACCTAGAACCGTTTGGGTCCCATTGAAGTCCATTATATGGAGAAACATCCTGGAATGTTTTCATCAAAAACCTTAAAGACATGGACATCTTGGATGACATGGGGGTGAGTAAATTATCAGCAAACGTTTTTTTTAAAGTAAACTAATCCTTTAACTAGGGAAAATGTAATTGTTGATATCAAGGATTCATATCCTGGAAATGAATGAACGTTAAAACGGCTTGCCATAGAAGGGGTTTATTCTGAGATAACAACCGCCTCGATGTACACTATCCCGCTCGTTAGACGGATGCTTGTCACGTGAGTAGTAAGTGAGGAGACGCACGCGTGCTGTAGGCCGGCTCGCACTGCAGAGACAGCATCTGGAGCTTGTCCTCGTCCTCCTCCACCTCCTGGTGTGCCAGATACTGCTTCACCCGCCGGGACATCTGCGCGTCCTCGTACAGCTTCCTGGCGTTGAGCAGAGAGCTGCGCCGCACTCGCTTCTTGTGGCCCGCCTGCACCTCCAGCAGGTTCGAGTTAGTGCTGGCCTGACTCAGAGACCTGAGGGAGAGCGAGACACAACATCACTGCCACTCCACGGGCACACGGGAAGACATTCACAAACAGAAGAAGAACATCCAGTCAAGTCGCCTTCATTTATACAGCGCTTTAACAATATAGAGTTTCACAGCAGCTTTACAGTGATAACAGGAGATTACAGTAACAGAGATAGTTTAGGCTTTACAGCAGCTCTAGAATAAAGTTATTGTCCAGATAAAGTTAGTTTTCATTGATTCACTTGTGTTGTAAAGATCATTAGTTATTAACTTAGGGGGCGCTAACACGGCACCGCTCTACTGAAAACCATTAAAGGGATAGTTCACCCTAAAATGCAAACTCTGTCAGTAATTACTCGCCCTCATGTTTTTCAACCCCGTAAGACTTTCGTTCATCTTCACGACACAAATTAAGATATTTGTGATTAAATCTGAGAGCTGGATCACTCCTCCATAGGCTTCAGAAAAGTTATTAAAGACATCGTTAAAATAGTCCGAGTGACTACAGCGGCTCAATCTTAAGGCCTGTTCACACCGGGACGAATTTCACGCGCGATGTTCGCCGACGTTTAACGCCTCGTGACTAAACAAAGGGCGCCAATGTGAGTGTGCACACCGACGCGAAAAACGCCACGCGTAAAAGCGCCATTTTTTTAAAAACGCCTCGGGTTCGTTTTTTCGGGTTTGACGCGCCGCGCCAAAAACGATCCGACCAATGAGATTGGAGCTTTTGCTCACGTGTCTGGAGCTTCTGAAGTTACAGTAAAACACACCTTGGGGGCGCTCAAACACAAAACGGTCTTGCTGAGCACACACACGTAACGACGAAGAAGATATACGCCAAGTAGCGTCTACACTGCCGAGGAGAAATAAGACGAGGAAGACGTAAGGCCAGATGAATGTAGAGCCGCTGGTCTCGTTGGTGTCGGAACATAAAGAACTATATGACAAACGCCACAGCGACTACAACATGGGACTATTTCTGTTTTACTTTAAGCGCCATCTAATGTCAGGGAATGAATTGGCATGTTCACTCGGCTCAACGTCAGCGAAAACCGCTTGGGTGTTAACACAAAAAACGCGTTGAAAAACGCTGGCGAATAACGCGCGCCGATATTCGTCCCGGTGTGTACGAGCCTTTAAGTTTATCAAGCGAGGAGAATACTCTCTGTGCGCAAAAAACAAACAAAAATAAAGACTTTATTCAACTCTTCATTTCCTTCTCTGTGGGCCTCGAGTGAGTTCTCGTTGTGTAACAGCGCAGCGCTTCTGGGTACATCACACGCATCACACACACATCACACACATGACCAGCGTCGGCCAATAGTGAGCCTGCGTGTGACGTACACAGAAGCGCTGCGCTGTTACACTACGAGAACTCACTCGAGGCCCACAGAGAAGGAAATGAAGAGTTGAATAAAGTCGTTATTTTTGTTTGTTTTTTGCGCACAGAAAGTATTCTCGTCGCTTGATAAACTTAAGATTGAGCCGCTGTAGTCACTCGGACTATTTTAACGATGTCTTTAATAACTTTTCTGAAGCCTATGGAGGAGTGATCCAGCTCTCAGATTTAATCAGAAATATCTTAATTTGTGTTCTGAAGATGAACAAAAGTCTTACGGGGTTGAACAACATGAGGGAGAGTAATTACTGACAGAGTTTACATTTTGGGGTGAACTATCCCTTTAAATGTGTTCTGTCCGTTCATTCACACGACAACAGTGTTTGTGCTCGAGAACGCAAACCTCGAAGAAAAAAAATTGTGAAAAAAAAGAGAAAACGTTATCATCTCCGTGCAAACTTCAATAACGTGAGTCTGTGAGAGCGCTGACGGCGTGCACATGCGTATCACGTGTTTAGTCTATAGATATGCGCGTGTGGTGCGTGTAGTCTTTCTTTACAAACTGACCTCAACAAATAACCTGAATCTACAAAAGTGTACTGGTTTCACAGATAAACGAGACTTGATGCATTTCTTCTGGTCTTGCAAATGTGAACCATGGAAACTCATATTTGTGAATCTTGTTTTTCAATTCCTGAAATAGTTTTATGTTTGGAGAAGTGTCTTATATGTACACTACAATTTAAAGGTTTGGGGTAGGACTTTTTTTCAAAGAAATTGATACTTTTATTGTTCAAAAGTGATGTTTAATATAATTTATATTTCAAATAAATGCTGTTCTTTTGAACTTTCTATTCATCAAAGAATCCTGAAAGTAATATGTATCACGGTTTTCACAAAAAATTTGAAACTTTGATAATAATGAGAAATGTTTCTTGAGCATCAGATCCTCATATTAGAGTGATTTCTGAAGGATCATGTGACACTGAAGCCTGGAGTCAAATTCAGCTTTGATCACAGGAATTAATTACACTTTACTATATATCCACATAGAAAACTGCTGATCTACAATATTTCACTGTTTTTACTGTATTTCTGATCAAATAGCCTTGGTGACTTTCTTTCAGGACATGTTTTGGAAGTATGTGATGTCATGAAATTTCTATTTGTGAAAGTCCTTCCATTTATTTGTAAATATGAAACGTTAAACATAAACCTCATTTATCTGGCAGTCTGAGCAAACGGCCATGCAACGCATTCAGCTCCATTAATGCAACAACAAAACAGAGAATAAATAGATGTAAACAGACGAGCATGATGGGTTACATGAAGATGAGAGGTTTAGAGGATGAGGAGTGAAGGAAGAGTTGGTGTGTCCAGTGAACGGTCAGGACATGCAGGACAGCACACTTACCCTAAACTCTTCCACCGCTTCTTTCTGTAAGCAGAGCCCACGAGAGGCAGAAGACAGGAGAAGAGAAAGACACACTCAGACAGACAGAAAACACCACCAGCACCACAGACAGAGAAATCCCCTGATGTACCGCCATCACACACTGATATGTGGAAGCTTGTTTCGCCACAGAATGAAAAAGAAAAAAAGGTAATTGCGACTTTTTATCTCACAATTCGGACTTTTTATTTCACAATTGCGAGTTTACATCTCGCAATTCTGAATTGCGTGATATAAAGTTGCAATTGCGTGTTATAAAGTCAGAATTGCGAGATATAGTCAGAATTGATTGATATAAAGTCGCAATTGCAGGTTATAAAGTCAGAATTGCGAGATGTAAACTCGCAATTGTGAGATAAAAAGTCGCAATTGCAGGTTATAAAGTCAGAATTGCGTAAAAAATAAAGTCGCAATTACGTGTTATAAAGTCAGAATTGCGAGATATAAAGTCAGAATTGATTGATATAAAGTCGCAATTGCAGGTTATAAAATCAGAATTGCGTGAAATAAAGTCGCAATTGCGTGTTATAAAGTCAGAATTGCGAGATATAAAGTCAGAATTGCGTGATATAAAGTTGCAATTGCGTGTTATAAAGTCAGAATTGCGAGATATAAAGTCAGAATTGCGTGATATAAAGTTGCAATTGCGTGTTATAAAGTCAGAATTGCGAGATATAAAGTCAGAATTGATTGATATAAAGTCGCAATTGCAGGTTATAAAGTCAGAATTGCGTAAAAAATAAAGTCGCAATTGCGTGTTATAAAGTCAGAATTGCGAGATATAAAGTCAGAATTGATTGATATAAAGTTGCAATTGCGTGTTATAAAGTCAGAATTGCGAGATATAAAGTCAGAATTGATTGATATAAAGTCGCAATTGCAGGTTATAAAGTCAGAATTGCGTAAAAAATAAAGTCGCAATTGCGTGTTATAAAGTCAGAATTGATTGATATAAAGTCGCAAATGCAGGTTATAAAGTCAGAATTGCGAGATATATAGTCAGAATTGATTGATATAAAGTCGCAATTGCAGGTTATAAAGTCAGAATTGCGAGATGTAAACTCGCAATTGTGAGATAAAAAGTCGCAATTGCGTGTTATAAAGTCAGAATTGATTGATATAAAGTCGCAATTGCAGGTTATTAAGTCAGAATTGCGTAAAAAATAAAGTCGCAATTGCGATATATAAAGTCAGAATTGATTGATATAAAGTCGCAATTGCAGGTTATAAAGTCAGAATTGCGAGATATAAAGTCAGAATTGATTGATATAAAGTCGCAATTGCAGGTTATAAAATCAGAATTGCGTGAAATAAAGTCGCAATTGCGTGTTATAAAGTCAGAATTGCGAGATATAAAGTCAGAATTGCGTGATATAAAGTTGCAATTGCGTGTTATAAAGTCAGAATTGCGAGATATAAAGTCAGAATTGCGTGATATAAAGTTGCAATTGCGTGTTATAAAGTCAGAATTGGGAGATATAAAGTCAGAATTGATTGATATAAAGTCGCAATTGCAGGTTATAAAGTCAGAATTGCGTAAAAAATAAAGTCGCAATTGCGTGTTATAAAGTCAGAATTGCGAGATATAAAGTCAGAATTGATTGATATAAAGTCGCAATTGCGTGTTATAAAGTCAGAATTGCGAGATATAAAGTCAGAATTGATTGATATAAAGTCGCAATTGCAGGTTATAAAGTCAGAATTGCGAGATATAAAGTCAGAATTGCGAGATAAAACATCGCAATTATTATTTATTTATTTTATTCAGTGGCGGAAACAAGCTTCCATACTGATAGAGCTCCACCCATTCATCAGACGTTTAATCGGCATCAGTAACCGATTGCTGGAATAATCGGTTATCGGTAAAAATCCATACCGATAGTTTTTAAATAAACAAATTTCGAAATAAAACTATCACTAGCCGCGTTTCCATTACACTTAAAAATTGCACAGATTGAAAATACACCCAATGGAAACATTTCACATCGCAAAAACTCCCATATAAAATATATATAAAGTTCGCATGAGGTGGTTTTTCAGGCGGTTCGAAAAGGGAATATTTCGCAAAACTGCATTGGAAACAGTTTTTGCACATTTACAGTCACCTGACGTAAATGGAGAGCTGTGTTTGGACAGAAGACGAGACAGAGTTCTTCATTAAACTCATAAAAGACTAAATAATTATACTGGATTCTAAACCACTAAGAAATGCCTTATCTAGAGAGTCTTATCTAGACAATCCATCGCTCATTTGATAAAAAATGTAACATTTATATACTTTTTAACCACAGATGCTGGTCTTGCACTAGCTGTGATGCGATCAGGTTGAAAGGTCACGCGTGTTCTGGTTTATAAATGTAGAATAGGGCGAACAACTTAATCTCATTTTCTCCTCCAACTTCAAAATCGTCCGACATCGTTGTTTTACCTTATATTAAATTTTTTTTTTTTTTTTTAAACGCCGTTCGACTTAGTCTTTGCATGTTCGATTTGTAAACACTAAGTCGGTTCTTCAGCCTGTTTTGCTGAAGTGTGTTTTCTGTAACTGCTAATGCTCTTTTTACACACACACTGAACAACATGAAGCATTGCTTGGTCACTGGTTGAGCTAAACTGGTATTATCTAATTGTGTAGTTAAATTTAACAGCTGAGAGATATTCAACATAATTCATGTGTGAGAGTCTAACAGAAGGACGGACAAAACCAGTGAAATATCCACTGAGTTCTGCTCATACTTTATTACCATTTTCTAAACTATAGCGAATAAACTGTGATAATGTGAGAAATGTTGATGTCTGAATACATTTTCTTTTTCACAATAAGTGCAGGAATCAGTTTTGATTTTCAGTGGACGTTTAGTGTGTGTGTGTGTGTGTGTGTGTGTGTGTGTGTGTGTGTGTGTGTGTATTCACCTCTGTCTGAACATGAGTGCCGGGTCCATGTTGGCTGATGTCATGCGCACAACGTTTCGGATCTCCTTGGCGATCATTCGCAACTTTTCGAAATTGACCAGGCCATCAACACTCGAATCGTTCCCTGAGCAAGACAATTGGACAGTTCAAGACCCTGACATGTGAAACCCACTACTAATGTTTACAGGCTATTTAAATAATAATCATAATTTCAAAATAAATGTCATAAATCAGTACAAATCAATTACATGTATTTGCTTAAAAATAATGAACATGGTTAAAATGTGGAACAAGTTAAAATGACAAGAGTCAAAACAAGATGTGTGAGAATGAAACAAATTGGATTTATTGATGATAATATGATGATATATAAATACATTTTTCAATCAAATTGTCCAGGCCATCATCATTCGAGTCGCTCCCGGAGCAAGATAAGAGAAGAGGCCAGTTTAAGGACCCGACTCGTGTCTAATGCTAACAGGCGTGTGTGTGACCTTGACCCGCTGACCTTCGTGCAGGAACGTGAGGTCCTTCTTGACCACAGGGAACAGGGGGATGATGGGAGGCTGCACGCTCTGGCTGCTCAGGATGTTGCGATATTTGGCCATGTTTCGTGACGGGTCGAAGATGTCCTGCAGATCGCGGAACAGCTTCTCGTACTTGCTGGGCAGTTTCTCCCACGTGCTCCTCAACCGAGCCACTGACGCCAGATTAAGACCACTGAAGAGCACAGAAGACACAGCGCATGAGCATCCGCCGCCCTGCTCGTACACTCACACACGCTCACAACACACACTCACACGCCGAGTGCAGAACATGCACGATCTTTGACCTCTTCAGTGTCGCGCCCCCTTTTTTTGAATAGACATGAAAATGCACAATCCGAACTTAAATGGTTGTAATTCAAGAATGCTTGGGAATATAGATGTAAGATTGGTCTAGTTTAAGAGAAGACATTTGGCAGATTTTTGTAGAAGTTGAAAGTGAAACAGAAAAAAAAGTTATAGAAGTTTGAGTTTATGAAAATGTAAACATTTAATTTTTCATATTTTACATAAAATATATTTTTTCAAAACCTGGTGGGCTCTATAAATGCAAGAACATCAAAGGCAAAACTCTGAACAAGTTGTGTTTCAAATTTTAGGTTGATATCTCAAAAGATGAGCTTTCAGTGAGAGTGTGTGTGTGTGTGTGCGCAGAACACAGAACGCTTCCACTAGGGCACAACCAGACTCCATTACTGCCCATATCAGGGCGCCGCCATCTCCATATGTGTTTGAGTGATCTGAACCATTATTTCCACAATTTTCATACAATTTATGAAGTAGGCATCCTATTCAGAAGTAGTAAGGGAAGTAGAAGGGAGACTAAAACTCACACACTGCACCTTTAATATAAAGTGGGACCTTAATTTCTTATAATCATTGAGAAACTCAGCTCGAGAGCTGACAGCCCGAGCGAAAGGCGGACTCACCTGATGATGGCAAACATGGAGTTGAAGTTCTTGCACTCGCGGCAGTGCAGGGCGATCTTGATGAAGTGCTTGATGGTCTTCATGCGCTTGAGCGCGTTGGCCTCGCGGAGGATCTCAGTGGCCACCCAGAACGTCTCCTGGTTGATGATGTCTTCGAACTGCTTCAGATGTTGGCCACCGCCCGGGTCCAGCTTGAACAGGTCGTCCACGTACTCGGTGGACTCGATGTTCCTGAACAGGCCGAAGTCCCTCATGGAGAGCTGAGCCGCCACCTCCACGGTGCTGAGCTGAAGCAGCCCGATCTGACTCTCCCGCAGGAGGTCCTGGGCGTCTTCATCCGAGCACAGCGTCTCCGTCTCCATGTTGTTCTTCAGGTAGTACCTGGGCAAACACACCAATCACGGGATTACTGGATAGTAGGGGTGTGACGATACCCTCATGTGCTTGGTAATACTCTAAGAGGTCTAGAACAAATTTATCAATGCATGGCTTCGCTTCAGGCCTTTATTAACCCTGCACTTTTATGATGGACAGATGCACTTTTATGATGGATAGATGCACTTTTATGATGGATAGATGCACTTTTATGATGGACAGATGCACTTTTATGATGGATAGATGCACTTTTATGATGGATAGATGCACTTTTATGATGGACAGATGCACTTTTATGATGGACAGATGCACTTTTATGATGGATAGATGCACTTTTATGATGGATAGATGCACTTTTATGATGGATAGATGCACTTTTATGATGGATAGATGCACTTTTATGATGGATAGATGCACTTTTATGATGGATAGATGCACTTTTATGATGGACAGATGCACTTTTATGATGGACAGATGCACTTTTATGATGGACAGATGCACTTTTATGATGGACAGATGCACTTTTATGATGGACAGATGCACTTTTATGATGGATAGATGCACTTTTATGATGGATAGATGCACTTTTATGATGGACAGATGCACTTTTATGATGGATAGATGCACTTTTATGATGGATAGATGCACTTTTATGATGGACAGATGCACTTTTATGATGGACAGATGCACTTTTATGATGGATAGATGCACTTTTATGATGGATAGATGCACTTTTATGATGGATAGATGCACTTTTATGATGGATAGATGCACTTTTATGATGGATAGATGCACTTTTATGATGGATAGATGCACTTTTATGATGGACAGATGCACTTTTATGATGGACAGATGCACTTTTATGATGGACAGATGCACTTTTATGATGGATAGATGCACTTTTATGATGGATAGATGCACTTTTATGATGGATAGATGCACTTTTATGATGGACAGATGCACTTTTATGATGGACAGATGCACTTTTATGATGGATAGATGCACTTTTATGATGGATAGATGCACTTTTATGATGGATAGATGCACTTTTATGATGGACAGATGCACTTTTATGATGGACAGATGCACTTTTATGATGGACAGATGCACTTTTATGATGGATAGATGCACTTTTATGATGGATAGATGCACTTTTATGATGGATAGATGCACTTTTATGATGGACAGATGCACTTTTATGATGGACAGATGCACTTTTATGATGGACAGATGCACTTTTATGATGGATAGATGCACTTTTATGATGGATAGATGCACTTTTATGATGGATAGATGCACTTTTATGATGGATAGATGCACTTTAAAGGTGCCATGTGGAATGTCTGCCAAAAAATAAATTCATACTCCACATATTCCATACCAGATGGGGGCAGTACACCTCCAGAAAGTTGGCCTACTCTAGTCTGTTTTTTAGTTTCGGGTTGTTAATCTTCTAAAACCGTCAAATCGTCCGCTTTGTCCCGCCAAAGCCTATTTTGATCGGTGAGTGATGTAGAATATAATGACTGCTGCGCTTGACAGGGCGCATAACGAGCAGAGAGAGAGAGAGAGCCCCGGCCGCGCGCGCGCACTCTCACGTCTTCAAACAACACGAGCGCAGTCCTCCTGCTCTCTCTCTCCCTCGCGCATATTAATCAAATCAATTGACACGATAGTAAGACCGCAGTTCATTTGGAGATTTTTAGAGATTAGAGACTCAACGAACAACATCTCAACACTAAATTATAAAGGCCGGTCTCATATAGACGCTATTGACAGGTTCAAGTTCAAGTACGCCCACAAGCCGTGCGAGTTATTCGTGTACTGCAGTTTGGCTGGTGGTTATGTATGTTGCCCGCATACCGCCTCCCATGGCCGAAACTGGTATTATGACACCAGTCGGGCCGGCGCTAGTAATTTAGCATGCTTATTTAGGTTTATATCTCAGCAGCACTATAACTTGTCAATTTTTTAATGACATCATTGCACTTATTTCTTCTCATTCTTTTGATGCGTGTAGCTCATTTTTTGGATAATTTTACCTATATTTTTACACAGGGCACCTTTAATGATGGATAGATGCACTTTTATGATGGACAGATGCACTTTTATGATGGACAGATGCACTTTTATGATGGACAGATGCACTTTTATGATGGACAGATGCACTTTTATGATGGACAGATGCACTTTTATGATGGATAGATGCACTTTTATGATGGATAGATGCACTTTTATGATGGATAGATGCACTTTTATGATGGATAGATGCACTTTAAAGGTGCCATGTGGAATGTCTGCCAAAAAATAAATTCATACTCCACATATTCCATACCAGATGGGGGCAGTACACCTCCAGAAAGTTGGCCTACTCTAGTCTGTTTTTTAGTTTCGGGTTGTTAATCTTCTAAAACCGTCAAATCGTCCGCTTTGTCCCGCCAAAGCCTATTTTGATCGGTGAGTGATGTAGAATATAATGACTGCTGCGCTTGACAGGGCGCATAACGAGCAGAGAGAGAGAGAGAGCCCCGGCCGCGCGCGCGCACTCTCACGTCTTCAAACAACACGAGCGCAGTCCTCCTGCTCTCTCTCTCCCTCGCGCATATTAATCAAATCAATTGACACGATAGTAAGACCGCAGTTCATTTGGAGATTTTTAGAGATTAGAGACTCAACGAACAACATCTCAACACTAAATTATAAAGGCCGGTCTCATATAGACGCTATTGACAGGTTCAAGTTCAAGTACGCCCACAAGCCGTGCGAGTTATTCGTGTACTGCAGTTTGGCTGGTGGTTATGTATGTTGCCCGCATACCGCCTCCCATGGCCGAAACTGGTATTATGACACCAGTCGGGCCGGCGCTAGTAATTTAGCATGCTTATTTAGGTTTATATCTCAGCAGCACTATAACTTGTCAATTTTTTAATGACATCATTGCACTTATTTCTTCTCATTCTTTTGATGCGTGTAGCTCATTTTTTGGATAATTTTACCTATATTTTTACACAGGGCACCTTTAATGATGGATAGATGCACTTTTATGATGGACAGATGCACTTTTATGATGGACAGATGCACTTTTATGATGGATAGATGCACTTTTATCATGGACAGATGCACTTTTATGATGGACAGATGCACTTTTATGATGGATAGATGCACTTTTATGATGGATAGATGCACTTTTATGATGGATAGATACACTTTTATCATGGATAGATGCACTTTTATGATGGATAGATACACTTTTATGATGGATAGATGCACTTTTATCATGGATAGATGCACTTTTATGATGGATAGATGCACTTTTATGATGGATAGATGCACTTTTATCATGGACAGATGCACTTTTATGATGGACAGATGCACTTTTATGATGGATAGATGCACTTTTATGATGGATAGATGCACTTTTATGATGGATAGATACACTTTTATCATGGATAGATGCACTTTTATCATGGATAGATGCACTTTTATGATGGATAGATGCACTTTTATGATGGACAGATGCACTTTTATGATGGACAGATGCACTTTTATGATGGATAGATGCACTTTTATGATGGATAGATGCACTTTTATGATGGATAGATGCACTTTTATGATGGATAGATGCACTTTTATGATGGACAGATGCACTTTTATGATGGATAGATGCACTTTTATGATGGATAGATGCACTTTTATGATGGATAGATGCACTTTTATGATGGACAGATGCACTTTTATGATGGATAGATGCACTTTTATGATGGATAGATGCACTTTTATGATGGATAGATGCACTTTTATGATGGACAGATGCACTTTTATGATGGATAGATGCACTTTTATGATGGATAGATGCACTTTTATGATGGACAGATGCACTTTTATGATGGATAGATGCACTTTTATGATGGATAGATGCACTTTTATCATGGACAGATGCACTTTTATGATGGACAGATGCACTTTTATGATGGATAGATGCACTTTTATGATGGATAGATGCACTTTTATCATGGACAGATGCACTTTTATGATGGACAGATGCACTTTTATGATGGATAGATGCACTTTTATGATGGATAGATGCACTTTTATCATGGATAGATGCACTTTTATGATGGATAGATGCACTTTTATGATGGACAGATGCACTTTTATGATGGATAGATGCACTTTTATGATGGATAGATGCACTTTTATCATGGATAGATGCACTTTTATGATGGATAGATGCACGATGCACTTTTATCATGGATAGATGCACTTTTATGATGGATAGATGCACTTTTATGATGGATAGATGCACTTTTATGATGGATAGATACACTTTTATCATGGATAGATGCACTTTTATGATGGATAGATGCACTTTTATCATGGATAGATGCACTTTTATCATGGATAGATGCACTTTTATCATGGATAGATGCACTTTAATGTTGGATAGATGCACTTTTATGATGGATAGATGCACTTTTATGATGGATAGATGCACATTATGGTGGACAGATGCACTTTTATGATGGATAGATGCACTTTTATGATGGATAGATGCACTTTTATGATGGATAGATGCACTTTTATGATGGATAGATGCACTTTTGTGGTGGACAGATGCACTTTTATGATGGATATATGCACATTATGGTGGACAGATGCACTTTTATGATGGATATATGCACTTTTATGATGGACAGATGCACTTTTATGATGGATAGATGCACTTTTATGATGGATAGATGCACTTTTATCATGGATAGATGCACTTTTATCATGGATAGATGCACTTGGACAGATGCACTTTTATGATGGATAGATGCACTTTTATGATGGATAGATGCACTTTTATGATGGATAGATGCACTTTAATGATGGACAGATGCACTTTTATGATGTATAGATGCACTTTTATCATGGATAGATGCACTTTTATCATGGATAGATGCACTTTTATGATGGATAGATGCACGATGCACTTTTATCATGGATAGATGCACTTTTATGATGGATAGATGCACTTTTATGATGGATAGATGCACTTTTATGATGGATAGATACACTTTTATCATGGATAGATGCACTTTTATGATGGATAGATGCACTTTTATCATGGATAGATGCACTTTTATCATGGATAGATGCACTTTAATGTTGGATAGATGCACTTTTATGATGGATAGATGCACTTTTATGATGGATAGATGCACTTTTATGATGGATAGATGCACTTTTATGATGGATAGATGCACTTTTGTGGTGGACAGATGCACTTTTATGATGGATATATGCACATTATGGTGGACAGATGCACTTTTATGATGGATATATGCACTTTTATGATGGACAGATGCACTTTTATGATGGATAGATGCACTTTTATGATGGATAGATGCACTTTTATCATGGATAGATGCACTTTTATCATGGATAGATGCACTTGGACAGATGCACTTTTATGATGGATAGATGCACTTTTATGATGGATAGATGCACTTTTATGATGGATAGATGCACTTTAATGATGGACAGATGCACTTTTATGATAAATTGATGCACTTTTATGATGGATAGATGCACTTTTATGATGGACAGATGCACTTTTATGATGGACAGATGCACTTTTATGATGGATAGATGCACTTTTATGATGGACAGATGCACTTTTATGATGGATAGATGCACTTTTATGATGGACAGATGCACTTTTATGATGGATAGATGCACTTTTATGATGGACAGATGCACTTTTATGATGGATAGATGCACTTTTATGGACTTCAAAACAGAAACAACCATTCACTACCATTAAATCTAAGAAGAGCCAGGACATTTTTTAACATAACTGATTGTATTCGTCTGAATAAAGAAAGTCATATACACCTTGGATGACTTGAGGGTGAGTAAATCATGGGCTAATTTAAATTTTTGGGTGAACTATCGCTTTAATGATGTTGGTTCTGCTCTTACCTGCCGTTGAGTTGGATGCGGTCTGCTAGTTTTGAGAGCTGGTCCGGCAGTCGGCGCTGTTTAATGACCCCTTCAGGACTAACAGAGACCTCACACAGCGAGTAGGTCTCCGAAGCTGCGATGAGGCCGAACTCGCTCACTACATGCGAGACGACGTCTTTGGCTGTGGTGTCTTTACTGATGATGATATAGCAGCTCTGCTGGTCCGCCTTGAACACGCGGATCACCTGATCGGGAATGTCTGTAACCCGCAAGAGGAAGGAGATGCAGTTAAACACACAACCGGTGAAACCATTCGAAATAAAGGTCAATGGTGAGATGTTTGGCTCAGATTTGGAAAACAAGGCAATGGCTCAAACCCTATTCGGTAACACTTTACTTGAAGGGGTGTGCATAAGACTGACATGACACCTTCATAATCATGACAGGACACATGTCATGAATGTCTCATTTCTTATGACAACTTGACATAAACCAATACATCATAACCTGTCAGTGTCTTGGTAATGACAACTTGACATTACCAAGACAACATAAATTGTCATAAATATGTCATAAACATGACATAGCAGATTAATTATTAAACTTAAGAAAGCACTTAGCTTTATGGGTTAACATTACATTAAACTGTCATGTGGTTGGTTTTGACATTGGCTGTCATGACGCCATTATAACATTTTAATGACAAGTTCAATTTGTACCACTGTAGTCGAGGTCAAGAAAAATATTCATGACACAGTTATAATGCCTCACGACAGCCAATGTCAACACCAACCACCTGACAGTATAATGTAATGTTAACCCATAAAGCTAAGTGCTTTCTTAAGTTTGATAATTAATCTGCTAAGTCATGTTTATGACATATTTATGACAGGTTGTGTTGTCTTCGTAATGTCAAGTTGTCATGGCAAAGACACTGACAGGTTATGATGTATTGGTTTATGTCAAGGTGTCATAACAAAGACATCTCAAACAATGTCATATTTGCATTAAAAATGTCATAATTGAGCGAATGACACTTAATGACAGTTGCCATAAACATGCATAAAACCTCCTTCAAAACATGTGTCATGTCATGATTATGAAGGTGTCATGTCAGTCTTATGCACACCCCTTCAAGTAAAGTGTTACCCACTATTCCATCATCCAGATGATTCAAATGACAGAAATCTCTTTCAGGTTTCATTAACATCTTCACTTGTGTTTCAAAGAAGAACGAAAGTCCAATGGGTGTGGAACACAATCCACATTAATGACGGCGTTTTCACATGCTTTTTTGTCGAGTGTAAATCATTTCATGCCACGAACTCATAACCACATGCAGTGTTGGGGGAAAGATACTTTGAAAAGTAATGCATTACAATATTGCGTTACTCCCTTAAAAAGTAACTAATTGCGTTACTTAGTTATATTACTTTGGTGTTACTTTTTCTAACCTGGGCTGGGCTTGTTTGTTTTTTTATAACAAAAAAGTTATATTTTTGGGCCAATATAAACCAAAATTTAAATAATAAGGCTGAAGGAAATGCTAATTCACACGTGTCCAGTAGAGGGCGCCGCTCACAAACCTGCCTTTCTGGAACACAGAAGAATAGGATGCAGGAGAAGAAAGTTCAACACTTCACCAATACAAACACAAAATAGAAAGTTTTTTTGCTTATGGTTTAATTGAATCATCGAAGATCAGCAGCAAGTACATTGGTCAATAAAGTGAGATTAAATGCATACAAATATTTGTTTTATTTAACATATTTAATTATTGGAGGTTTGCGTATTATTCAGATTTTGCATTTCACTGATTCTATTCAGTTTGAAAAATACTGAATCTTTTTTTGTGCAAGTGAGATTAGTCAATGCATACTCACATTTAGTCTAGAACTACAATAACCATCATGTTCACACACACTTACAGTTTTCCTCAACATGAGGACAGGAGAGCTGTCAGTCAATAAATGTGAAAACGTAACTTGCGTTACTTATTTGAAAAAGTAACTCAAATATTTTGCTGTAAATTTGAAAGTTCCTTGAAAAAAGTAATCGGATTACTTAAAGGGGTGGTATAATGGTATAAAGATGTAAAATAAGTCTCTGATGTCCCCAGAGTGTGTGTGTGTGTGTGAAGTTTTAGCTCAAAATACCCCACAGATATTTTATATAGCATGTTAAAATTGTCACTTTTTGAGGGTGAGCAAAAACGCGCCATTTTTGTGTGTGTGTGTGTCCCTTTAAATGCAAATGAGCTGCTGCTCTCGGCACAGGGGGCGGAGCTTCAAGAGCTGGTGTCCTTTTACCTCACACACACATGCACTGAACCTTTCAATGTTTATGTTCAAACCGGAGTCAGACAAATATGGAGAGACTCAAGAAGAAGTGACGACATGTAGAAGCAACAGGACGTTTCTGAACGTTTAATTGATGAATTTATGTATCTTATGTGTAGTTATCTTCTAGTCATTGATTAGCATATTCTGTCATGATAATCTATGAATCGTGTTCTGGGGGGGCGGGGTTTATGTAAATGTTAGGGTTTGTGATGTCACTAACCCAGGAGGAAGCTCATGTAGTTCTACCAGCCGTTTGTTGTAGTTCTTAAAAAACAATTTCTGTAAAAGCAAATCTCTCCCTTTGCTTTGAGCTCAAACAGCAACATTACACACAAACTACAGCTAGAAAAGTGAAATCATAATCAACCGCCCCTTTAACTCAAGTTACTTGTAATGAGTTACTCCCAACACTGACCACATGCAATGAAGTTCAAAACAGCATACAGGAGTTACACGAGTGAAGAGGAAAAGAGTGCATGACGTGTACAGTGTACTTACAGTAGAAACCAGCCACTGGTGGAGCCAAGAAACACACAGAAAGCAAAGACAGACAGAGAGAGAGAGATAACACATGACACCAGTGGAGACATCACATCTAATGTAAAGATGTCCTCCTCATTATAAACATCTCCAGATCCTCCTGAAACCAGCCGTGTGCTTTCGCTTCACACAACCCAGAGCTGAGGTTTCAGAAAGGAAACATTTACTGGAATCCTTCTGAACATCCTCATATAGTCTAACTACATCTATCTAAATGTAGAACGTTTTCTGAGCTTGAAATGAGGAGAAATAAACCGCTTCAGCTTCACTCGTACACAGAAGAAACCCTCTATTCAGTATACCTTTAAAAAGAGTGCATAAAACGGATATCATACACTTTAAACGGATGTGAACGGACAGAAATAATTTAAAACAAATTAATGTTATTACAGTTAAAATTTATATTAACGTTTTTATAACGATATAAATAACATTGATATGAGTGATCACATGGATTTAGACCTATATTGTATTTATATAAAGTGTTCAGGGGCAAATTTGCTTGATGTATTTCCCCGGCGTCATATAAATGTGCGGAAACACGATTCCTGCTGCATGTCGATATCCACGATCACTGGATCTTTAGTAAGTTGTAAGGAACACTATATAATCGAGTCCAAGCTTTAGTTTAAACTGATAATCGTTCGTTTTACTGGCGTTTTCGCAGTTTCCCTGTTAACTCCAGTCACTCAGTTCCGGTTTACTTCAATGGGGAAATCCTGAAATCTCAGAAACTGCTCGCCACACTCACATTTAAATAATATATTCAACCCAGAAATAAATCTGTCACATAAAACAGCTGCAGTGCCGTAATGATTTTACCAATCGGTGATTGGCTCTTTTATTATCTACATTCCCCCATTTTGCATTAGTGCCCGCCCACCTTTTCAGCGGCGTTGGTTTCCGGAAAGATTTTTTTCCATTCATTTCTCCCATAAAAATTCCAAAAAAATCCATAAACCAATCCAACCAGCTACAAGGAGAATCATAAACTACAAACTTTGGAGGCAAAAAAATTTTGAAAAAAATTGTATTTAAAAATTGGACAAAAATATAAAGGTCAGCTATCATTAAAAATCTATTTCCAAAACAGTTCTAAATAGTGTTAAATACATAGTAATAATACTTTTAGCAAGCTGTCGGAAAGACCCAACTCTTATGAAAACCCCAAATTCAAAATTAGAATATTGTGAAAAGGTTTTCATAAGCTGTAAGACATAATCATCAAAATTATAACAAATAAAGGCTTGAAATATCTCACTTTGTATGTAATGAGTCTATATAATATATTAGTTTCACTTTTTAAGTTGAATTACTGAAATAAATGAACTTTTGCACGATATTCAAATTTTTCGAGTTTCACCTGTATTATTGTTGCAGAATTGTTATTTTCTCGTTCATTTTCTATTCTTCTGCCACTCGGTCCGTCAATGCTCTCCCTCTGATGACAGGAGGGAATGCACATGATGTCTGACGGCGTGTGTGTGTGGTCATTGGCTCAGTGTGTGTGTGTGTGTGTTACCTGCGGGGTTGGTGAAGTCGAGTGCGCTGGCGGGCTGGAGCAGGTCCGGGCTGCTGGACGAGAGGCTGCCTGGGATCGGCATGATGGCCACGCTGTGCCGGCACTGCTTCGTGCCCACCATACTGTCATCCTGAGACTGGGACAAGCCACCGTCACTGCACACACAGAGCAAGAGGGATTACAGCCGGCTCCACACACACACACACACACACAGATGGAAGACGTGGACATTTAGGCCGTTTTCACACTTGATTTGACTGAACTGGAAGGAGACAAACCGAATGTGATTTTGCTAAAAGAATACCGCATTGTCCGCACTATAAGGCGCACCGGATTATAAGGCGCACCTTCAATGAATGATCTATTTTAGAACATTTTTCATATATAGGGCGCACCGGATTATAAGGCGCATAAGATACTGCAGTCAAACGTTTGACTGGGTTTGCGTTATGCATCCACTAGATGTGCTAAAGGGAATGTAGCGAGTGCGCGGCGCCGGAGGCGAGGCGTTTATTAGCAAGCGTGAGCGCGCTGGGGCGGGCACGTAACTTACATTCGCAGCCTGACTCATGAGTATTCATGTGCGGCGGCTCGCTGACAGCAACAGCTGGATGTTTTGAATGAGACGACCCGGTTACTGTGAACGGCGAGCGCTTTATGAGCATTCTGTGTCGCGCGAGCAGCGCCGGGGACAGTGTGTCTGTTCGTAATGGTGTGTTCACACCGAACGCGAATAGAGCGTCAAATACGCGTCTAGTTAGACGCTTGAACATTCGCTCGAGTTCAAATTTTTCAACTTGCGCGGAAGACGTTCGCGGCAAACGCGTCGCCCAATTCGCGTCATTCGCAACGCCCGGCGTGAATGATGTGTCTATTCGCGTCTTTGCATTGACTTTGTATGTAATCTACTCGCGCAAATAATTAAATTCGCGTTCGGAGTGAACACACCATTACACACATAACCTTATACGAGGTTGAACTGGCCGTGTGGCATAAGATGGACACGAGCGCGAGTTCGCGGGCGAATTTAATAAACCAATTGATGCATATATAAGGCGCTCCGGATTAAAAGGCGCACTCGTTTTTTGAGAAAATGAAAGGCTTTTAAGTGCGCCTTATAGTGTGGAAAATACGGTAACTATTAATAATTAATGATTCCGACACTTTGACCTGATCATGTTTTGCTGGGTTAGGGTTTCGCCATGGTTTAGATCTTATTCGTCTGAAAGAACTTTCTCAGTTTGTTTTGGAGACTTTGTCTCCTCGACGGCTTCTTTCACGCGTGGGGTCCCCCAGGGCTCTATTGTGGGGCCTATTTTGTTCTCCCTATATATGCTCCCTTTAGGACATATATTTTTAGGAAATTTGGTATTTCTTTTGATTGTTATGCAGACGATACGCAAATTGATCTGCCTTTGAAACGAAAAGATACTCTATTGCACTGTCTTGAGGATATTAAGGCCTGGATAGCACTAAATTTCCTTAGTTTTAATGAAAATAAAACACAAGTTATGCTGTTTACGCCGGGAGACACTTATGAGTCAGCAGATTTGGACCTTGGTGAATTGAATCCACTTGTGAAGCCCTATGTCAACAATGTAGATGTTTTTATAGAGTGTGATTTTAAACTGATTAACTCGGTAGTTAAATCTAGTTTTTTTCCAATTGAGACAACTCACCAAGGTGAAATCTTTCCTGTCCTTTAAAGACTTTCAAAGACTTGAAATATTTTTATATCAACTCGTCTGGATTATTGTAAAGGCCTCTATATAGGCATCAGTCAGGCCTCTCTGATGGTCCAGAACGCAGCAGCTCGCCTGTTGACATTACCCCTGTTCTCGCCGCTCTTCACCGGTTACCTGTCCATTTCAGGATTCATTTTAAGATTTTGGTGTTTGTTTTTAAATCTCTTGATGGTTTGGCACCTAAATATCTTTCTGACCTGATCAAGCTGTATGCTCCGCTAAGAGCACTTATTGCTTTTAGCTGTCCCACGGGTAAAGCTGAAGAGCATTTGCAGTGGCGGCACCGAAGCCTCTCTCTACATTACACAGGCTCAAACACTTGCTGTTTTTAAATCTAGCCTAAAAACATATTTTTATAGTCTGGCATTTGACGCTATGTGAGAGTTGCTTTTTTTTTTGTATTGTGTCTTGTTGTTTTCTTCTGTTGTGTTGACTGTTTGCATCAGTGATATGTGATATGTGTGTACAGCACTTTGATAAACACTTGCTGTTTTTAACAAGTGCTTTATAAATAAACTTTGACTTTGCTGTCGAGCTGTAGACGCATTGCAATGGATGCGAGCGGCGATGAGTCTAAAGCGACCGAACTGCAGTGTGAAAGCGCTCTAAACAGACACGAGCACAAATACAGAGTGAACACACACACACACACACACACACAATCCATGAATGAGACTCAAGCCTGAGATGAGCAAACACAGCAGAAGGACACGTGACGTCTCAGCGCTGGCTCATGGGTAAACTCATGCCGATCAGATGCTGAGCTTGAGATCTTGACTCGAGAACACATCCCCAACAGTCACTGGAGTAAAGCACGTCACGATAGATATACACAGGTATGGAAGCCCATTTACGCCACATTGGAGAAAAAAAAAATCATGCTTTGGTAAATCATAATTATGAGATAAAAGTACAAAGTTCGACATTCTACATCATACAGTGGGCTCAGAAAATATCGGCATTCTTGGTAAATAATTTCAGAAGTAATTAAATAAAAGAAATAATTTACATTTCAGAAGAAAATGTTTTTTTTTTTATTAATAAAAAAAACAATTGTTCTTTGATAAGAATAACTATTTGATTTTAATGAAAGGTTCGATTTTTGGGAATATTTTGAATGAAAGACTAAGAGGAATATTTGTGGAGCAAACTGTAATTATGACATACCAAGTCAGAATTATGAGATAGTCGAAATTTGCAAAAGCTGAAATTATGAGATAAAAAGCAATGAGATAAGTCAAAATTATGACATACTACGTCATAATCATTAAATTAAAACAATCATGAGATAAGAGTCGAAATTATTAAATACTGCCATTATTACGATAGTCCAAATTATTAGATAAAAAGTCATGAGATACAATTGACGTTCCAAATCATATTTATGGCATACTAAGTCAAAGTTATGAGATAAAGTCAAAATTATGAGATAAAAAGTCATATTGAGATAAAATGATGACATACCAAATCATAATTATGCGATACTATATCTAAGTAAAAATTATGTCGAAATTTAACGTTCATAAAAAGTCAAAATTATGCCAAGTTGATTACATTTTTCATGTCATAATGACTTCATTCGTGTCATAAATTTGACTTTTTTCATAATTATGATTTACCAAAGCAGGGTTTTTTTTATTTATCCACATACATACAAAAATAAGAAATGTCTTTTTCTCATGTTTTGCATGTATGTGAGACACAGCTAGTGTTTGTCCAGGTCCAGGTCACGTGACAAACAGCGCTTGTGATTTCACAGAAACAGGAATTGAGAAGAACGACTTCCACACACACACAGCACTGTTTGACACGGCACGGTTCATTTACACAAGAGGAAGATCTTGACCGATGACAGAAAACACCTAACAAGGCACGACATGATACAAGCGATCTGCTTTCCTGGCCAATCACAGCCGTAGTCCACAGGACAGTGTTGTCAGCTGCTCTGATTGGCTGTTGGAAAGGTCGTGCCTGGTTAGGATGTGATGCAACTCTTCATGAACACGCAGGAAAGAGAAGAAGTGCCAGTGAAATGTGTTGTTAGATAGTTTGGACTGTGAGCACAATCGCATGGTTTATGTGAAGATGAAACAACATGAATGTTCACGCAAACGATTTTATGACATTATGACATATTTCATGAGAGAGAGAGAGAGAGTGTTGAGCTGGTGTCTCTTACCCAAACAGTCCCCTGTGCAAGTGATCAGCCATAAAAACAGAAGACACGTGATGTCAAGCAGAACAAGCATCAAGCACAGAGATGACCCTCACACACACTCGCACTCACACACACACTTCCTGCGCTGACATTCACCCCAACTTCATAAGATAAAACACACACTGTGCATGAACAACATAACGCCTGTATTGTTTGCACTGTGACAGCATATAAACAGTGATGGTCTCGGATAGTGATCATGGGCTTTGTGATAATTTACCTCGGATCTTGGAAATAATTTACAGTAAAAGAAATTGTCAAACTGAAGTGTATTCATGACAAAGACTGTTTCAGTCACTCAGTATGTTTTTTAATAATGTTAAAATTAGCGCTGTCAAGCGATTAAAATGTTTAATCTAATTAATTATATGATCAGCCGATTAATTAACAGACATACAGTTTGGCTGAGAAATTACCCCCCAAAAGATCATTTAAAGTCATTATTGTGTTAGATGAGAAAAGCATTACAAAAAGTAGCTTTAGAAGGAAATATTTTGATTCAACATAGAATTTATTACACAAAATGTTAAAGTCCCCCTGTAGTCAATAATTGTATTACATAATACCAAAATTTCCTTGAAAAAAAATGTCTTCATGTCTTAAAATATCTTGAATGTAACTCGACACCCTCGCCTCATTTAGTATGCGTGGTTCTATGAATATGCAAATGAGCCCCGCCTCCACTCACTCGCTCAGCTCAGAGATCCACTGGTTGACGATCACACGTTGATCTGATTGGTTACAAGGTCGTTTGTGACGTCAGAAACACCAGCGATTTCAAACCGTGTTTTTGAGACTGTCTTTGGTTCACTGCAGTTTTAAGCAGAAAATACTCAGCAATGCTGTCGACTTATGAACTTACACATGGATTGTCTTAAAGCGTATTAAAAACACCAAAAACAGCTGGATTTTAACCACAGGAGGGCTACAATCTGGCCATAACATCTTTTTTAGAAGCTGCATCTGAAGTGGCGTTTAAGTCTATTAACAGAGACTGTTTAATGCAGCTTAGAGGTGGCATGAATATGAATGAAGAATGAAATAACACACTAAATATGAAACTAAAACCGCTGGTAGGTCAATGATTGAATCATTCATCCAACAGATTCATTCAAACGGCAGATTCACTCAGGAATGAAACATTTGCAACTACTTTGATTGGCGAAACTGAGCAAAAACAAGCAGTATTTACAATATTGCATCTAAAATGTAACTTTATTGAACTGATGTATAAAATCAATATAAGATTTGTAATCGTGCAGATATTCGGGGAAAAAACAACACTCTTGCTCGTGTGATTTTGCTAAACTATATCATTTGATATAAATATAAGACAAAATGCCCTCATATCTTGAGTTTTAGCAGCATTTTAAATGCATTCGAATAGGCTTCCTATCGCAATCAGTCGTTCCATGCATGTGCGTGTGAGTAAACTGCATGCGATGTGAGATGACATACAGGTGTGGGCCGATCCGATCTTATACGTTTTGCTGTAAGTGCTAGACAATAGTGCACTCGCAGAATGGGCCGATATCTGTGATTGATTTTGTGGACAGACAAAGTGCTTGTGGATGTAATCTTATCGCGTCTGGTTTGGACATGGTGTAATTTTCATGACACTTGAGCACATTTTCTGTCACCACAGTGAGAAAACAACAGTATATTACAGGGGTGTCTTGTCCCGCCTCGGGTCCTGACAGCAGTGATGACCACCTTCAGTTCACTGAAGAGGACAACACGCTAATGGATGGATGGACGTGTGTTTAAACCAAGCGGCGACTTCCGTCTCTCTTGAATCAACACTGAAGTGAGTTAAACTGCAGTTCCTCCACTGGCCACTAGAGGCCGGCTCCAAAAGAGACTCAATCCCATAAACCCGCATGTTAAAATGCCCAACTTTACAGCAGAAAAACACATGTTTACAGTCTGGTGCAAAAAGTGGTTTTGGTCTATATAGCTAATGTTGCCCTTCATGACGACTGTGAGGGGGGTGAATATTTTTATAACTCATCCGTTTACATGATATTAAGCCTTAAAGTTCTGCATAATTAGGGGCGTGGCCACTTGAGTGACAGGTGGATTGGCGCTGATGTCACTAATAGCCGTTTGTCTGCTAGCCGTTTGTCTGCTAGCGTTAGCATCATGTCACCTCAGCTAATCCGCCTCGCTGCACATTTTCGTTTATCGACGCTAAGATGGCGACGGCCGGCTCCGCCCACTTTAATGGTCTATTTTGTTCCATTAAATATTTAAGATATTAAATTTCGGTCAGTTTTGTTCCATTAAATATTTAAGATATTAAATATCGGTCTGTTTTGTTCCAATAAATATTTAAGATATTAAAAATCGGTCAGTTTTGTTCCAATAAATATTTAAGATATTAAAAATCGGTCAGTTTTGTTCCAAAAAATATTTAAGATTTTAAATATCGGTCAGTTTTGTTCCATTAAGAGATTTAAAATATCGGTCGGTTTTGTTCCATTAAATATTTAAGATATTAAATATCGGTCAGTTTTGTTCGATTAAGAAATGTAAAATATCGGTCTATTTTGTTCCATTAAATGTTTAAGATATAAAATTTCGGTCAGTTTTGTTCCACTAAATATTTAAGATATTAAAAATCGGTCAGTTTTGTTCCAATAAATATTTAAGATATTAAAAATCGGTCAGTTTTGTTCCACTAAATATTTAAGATATTAAAAATCGGTCAGTTTTGTTCCAATAAATATTTAAGATATTAAATATCGGTCAGTTTTGTTCCATTAAGAGAATTAAAATATCTGTCAGTTTTGTTCCACTAAATATTTAAGATATTAAAAATCGGTCAGTTTTGTTCCAATAAATATTTAAGATATTACATTTCGGTCAGTTTTGTTCCATTAAGAGATTTAAAATATTGGTTGGTTTTGTTCCATTAAATATTTAAGATATTTGATATTAAATATCGGTCAGTTTTGTTCCATTAAATATTTAAGATATTAAATATCGGTCAGTTTTGTTTGATTAAGAAATGTAAAATATCGGTCTATTTTGTTCCATTAAATATTTAAGATATAAAATTTCGGTCAGTTTCGTTCCATTAAGAGATTTAAAATATCTGTCAGTTTTGTTCCACTGAATATTTAAGATATAAAAAATCGGTCAGTTTTGTTCCAATAAATATTTAAGATATTTAATATCGGTCAGTTTTGTTCCATTAATAGATTTAAAATATCTGTCAGTTTTGTTCCACTAAATATTTAAGATATTAAAAATCGGTCAGATTTGTTCCAATAAATGTTTAAGATATTAAATATCGGTCAGTTTTGTTCCATTAAGAGATTTAAAATATTGGTCAGTTTTCTTCAGATATTTGTCAAGATATTAAATATCGGTCAGACTGAAGAGAGGGAGTGAAGCGTGTGTTTACCTGAAGGGCTTCGGGGGGAGGATGCTGAACCGGGTCTTCTCCAGCATCTTGCGGATCTTGTTGCGTCCCCCGGACACCGTGTTGGCCTTCATCTTCTTGCGGCTCTTGCTGTCCGAGGGAAACTCCATGTCTCCGGGCAGATCCGGGATGGAGAAGCGGTTGCTCTTCCTCTCCTGAATCTTAGGGATGTGAGGACCGCCGTTTTTCTTCTCGTGCCTCACTCGATTTTGAAGCTCTTTGAAAACTGCAACGAGTCAAAATCAAGTGCATTTGTAAAGCTCTTTCCACAATACACTTCATTTCAAAGCAGCTTTACAGAAAGTCATACTGTTATGTCTATAATGCCTTGATGCTTTATTATAGAGCAAGTTTTAGTGGGCGATAAGATTTCATATAATGATGATATGAGTGATCCTGCGGATGAATTTATAGTTATATTGTATTTCTAGTGTTGTCTAGCACATATATCAATGCTGCAGTGACTGAGACACATGACTGAGCGATCAAGACAATTAACAGATTAAAAATATCTTAATATTAAATATTTAAGATATTGAATATCGGTCGGTTTTGTTCCATTAAATATTAAATATCGGTCGGTTTTGTTCCATTAAATATTTAAGATATTAAATATCAGTCAGTTTTGTTCGATTAAGAAATTTAAAATATCGGCCAATTTTGTTCCATTAAGAGATTTAAAATATCGGTCAGTTTTGTTCCACTAGATATTAAATATCGGTCGGTTTTGTTCCATTAAATATTAAATATCGGTCGGTTTTGTTCCATTAAATATTTAAGTTATTAAATATCGGTCAGTTTTGTTCGATTAAGAGATTTAAAATATCGGTCAGTTTTGTTCCACTAAATATATAAGATAGTAAATTTCGGTCAGTTTTGTTCCATTAAGAGATTTAAAATATCTGTCTATTTTGTTCCATTAAATATTTAAGATATTAAATATCGGTCTATTTTGTTCCATTAAATATTTAGGATATTAAAAATCGGTATGTTTTGTTCCAAAAAATATTTAAGATATAAAAAAATCGGTCAGTTTTGTTCCAATAAATATTTAAGATATTAAATATCGGTCAGTTTTGTTCCATTAAGAGATTTAAAATATCGGTCAGTTTTGTTCCATTAAGTATTAAAGATATTAAATATCGGTCAGTTTTGTTCGATTAAGAAATTTAAAATATCGGTCTATTTTGTTCCATTAAATATTTAAGATATAAAATTTCGGTCAGTTTTGTTCCATTAAGAGATTTAAAATATCTGTCAGTTTTGTTCAGATATTTGTCAAGATATTAAATATCGGTCAGTTTTGTTCCACTAAATATTTAAGTTATTAAATATCGGTCAGTTTTGTTCCATTAAGAGATTTAAAATATACGGATATATTTTGTTCCATTAAATATTATAGATTAAAAATCGATAGGTTTTGTTCCAATAAAAATTTAAGATATTAAATATGGGTCAGTTTTGTTCCATTAAGAGATTATATTTAAGATAATTTGATATTAAATATCGGTCGGTTTTGTTCCATTAAATATTTAAGATATTTGATATTAAATATCGGTCGGTTTTGGAGATATCGGTCATTAAGAGATTTAAATATCAGTAGTTTACACACTTAGTGTAAGCAATTCTCAAGTATTACTGAAAAAATAATGGGTTGTTGCAGGTAAAAATTCTGAACAAAACAAAACAGAGCAGACGCTACAGTCTCCGTCTGATTAAAGCGGGATTTCCATGTACAGATTTTATTAGAATTTTTAGATATATAAATTGCAGGATGCACAACAAAACAAGTCAAGTGACTGAACAACTGGCAGAGAGGACATACGTTCAAGTTCAAGGTCTTTACTGTCATATGTACTTGGTACAATGAAATTCTTATTTTGTATTGTTTTATTTTATTTTTTCAGAGCGCTTTGAAGTCAGTCATTACATTTCATTGAATTGAATGCCTTTATTGTCATTGCACTTAGCTGTACAACGATAATCTTAAGTGCAACTCCTTGTGGTATAATTAACACACAAGCACAATACAAAACACTAAGTAAAGGTAACACACAACATACAATCCCATAATCCCATGTGTATATAAACAGTCAATGTATTGCACAGTCCCATAAGCAATGTGTATTGCACAATGCACAGTCCATACTTAGTTCATTGAATATTATGAGTTTAGTACTTTTACGGCACTCACAGGGTGGCATTTGTACCGTAATACAACAGCAGCTTCAACTTTCATTGTGGCCCTGGACCACAAAACTAGTCTTATTGGTAATTTTTTTTAATTGAGATGTATATATCATCTGAAAGCTGAATAAATAAGCTTTCCATTGATGTATGGTTTGTTAGGATAGGACAATATTTGGCCGAGATACTACTATTTGAAAATCGGAGGGTGCAAAAAAAATCGAAACATTGACAAAATCTCCTTTAAAGTTTTGCATTTATGTTGGCGATTGAGCCGCATTCACTCACAAAAATAACTTTTTTATATATTTACGGTAGGAAATGCACAAAATATCTTCATGGAACATGATCTTTACTTAATATCCTAATGATTTTTTGGCATAAAAAGAAAAATCGATAATTTTGTCCCATACAATGTATTGTTGGCTATTGCCACAGACACACCCGTGCGACTCGAGACTGGGTTGGTGATCCAGGCTCACATATGTGATGAGTTTGGAATAAGTCTTTATGCAGATTATCTTCAATGTTGTGATAACTGTGTATGATACTGTACAAATACTGTGACATACCGAAGATGTTGGTCTTCACAGTAAGAGAGAGGTGTGTGTTGTTCTTGAGGATATCCATGGCTTTGGTGTACGAGATGTTCTCAAAGTTCTGTCCATTAATCTCCAGGATCTGAGGACAGACGAGCACAACGTGTTCATGCTGAAATACGAATGTGTTGTTCTGAGGAGAGCGTGTTCCTCTGACCCGTACCTGATCTCCACGCTTGAGCCCCGCTTCTGCTGCTTTACTGCCCTCGGCCACAGACTCCACGAAGATGCCGAAGCCTCGCTCGCTGCCGCCCTGAAGCGCGAAGAACAGCGGAGACTCTCGGGACGGCTTCTGGAGAGTGATCTGACGACACTTGGCCTTCGCAGCACACGCGATGTTCAGCAGACGCAGGTGACCCTTCATTTTCTGAGAGACCATTCAGGGAAACACAAACACTGACTTATTCAGATCTGGGCCGGTTTCACAAAGACAGACTTTGACTATGGCTTAGATACAGGTGAAACCCGAAACATTAGAATATGGTGCAAAAGTTCATTTATTTCAGTAATTCAACTTAAAAGGTGAAACTAATATATTATATAGACTCATTACATGCAAAGTGAGATATTTCAAGTGTTATAATTGTGATGATTATGGCGTACAGATGTGAAAACCTTTTCACAATATTCTGATTTTGAATTTGGGGTTTTCATAAGCTGTAATCCATAATCATCAAAATTATAACACTTGAAATATCTCACTTTGCATGTAATGAGTCTATATAATATATTAGTTTCACCTTTGAAGTTGAATTACTGAACTTTTGTACGATATTCTAATTTTTACGAGTTTCACCGGTAGAGTAGAGAGTCAGACTTCAGATAGACGTCTAAATCAGGCCGTTGCACAAAGCACTGAAGACTCTGACTATCTTAAGTAGGACTACACTGCAATGCATTCTGGGTAAAATAAGACACTTTTCAAAACAAAACACATGGCGGATCGAGTAAGCACATTCACCCGCTCAGTGCAGTTTACCCCAGCGGGAGATATGTGTGTGTTGGAGGAGTGTAACAGTTACAAGGACATTTTACTGGGGAAATTTAATGTTGTAACAAGAAGAAATGTTTAATTTGGACAAAGATTGCTACGACAGTTCAGCGGAGCGTTAAAGACGTACAGAAAAGATACAAAAACATGGTACAAGATGCCAAAAAAGAAATATTTAAGAGGAAATATCCAAAAACGGGAGGAGGACCCCAAGAGGAACTTAAAGACACTGAAATGGAGATGATTGATAAGGCGTCTATTTTTTTGGTCTAAATTAAGTCAGTCTTTATTTTTGTGAAACAGTCTAACTTGCATTAGACTAGTCTATGAGCACATTTTAGACTCGTCTAACACTATAGAGCGGTCTAAAATAGCTTTGTGAAACCGGCCCCAGGGGTGTGTGTCCCGTACAGCGCTGTAACTCGTGCTTTACTATCACAGTACGACATCGCTGAAGAATCCACTAGCTCGTCTCCACTGTTTCCCCAAACCATATTGTCGCAAATTGGTCGTTCATCCGCGCTGGTTAATGATGTCACGCAGGTGTTGGAGTAATAACTACTGTTAATGAATCTGTTAGAGATCGAGTTAATGCGAGATGTTTCGCTATAAATTCAAAATCTGAGGAATATCTCTCATTTTTCTCAGTTATTTTGCTTTATTTCCAGATTCAATCATAGTCTCGTTCTCACACACTAGAGCTCGTTCACAATAGTAGTTATGAAATGACATATAAATATGTACTTAAGTGGTCCAAAATAAAGCACTCTTAAATTCAGCTAACTGCATTAATTTAAATTTAAACTATAATGCATTTTCATTTGATGAAAATTAATTTCATATCATGAAATACATTTTTCAGTTCACACTTAAGTGTATTATTTCCATAAGTACTCTTTTTAAAGGGGAACTATTATGTTTTTTTATTCCACCTTTCCTTTAGTGTGTAATACAGCTGTTTGTGCAAGTAAACCTTGTGTAATGTATATACAGAATTTTTTTGTATTCTAGTAGACCTGAACAAAATTATCTGGTTTAATAACTGATTAAAAATGATTATACCTGTAAATGAGTGTAACAGGGGGTTCTTTAAAAGTGTTTCCAGATCTAAAAATCCCTATTTTAGGATTCCCTGATACTTCCATGCTATCCTGATTTAATGCACTTGTTTTGTCTGAACTGATGTCGACACTCACCGAGAAATCCAGTAACTTCTCAAAGTCCTCCAGGAACTGTGTCATCACTGGGTCGCCTTCAAAATCGTTAAAGTGATTGTTCACCCACAACAACACGATCCTCGTCACCTGCAAGATCACAGAAGATGTAAACTAGCGCTGTGCAACGATTAATCGCATCAACAAAAAATGTGTGTTTACATAATATGTGTGTATAATTATTTTGTATATATATACACACACACATGCATGTGTATATTCAAGAAAAATGTGTTCTTTATATGAAGAGGTCTTTTCCAAAACGCGATAAACGCCATTTTTAAAAAAAATGAGTTTGTCAGGTCATTTTGCTGTGCACTGAACCTATTCACTGCTCCATCAACATTTCATGCCAAATCGCTATATTTCCTTGTTTAAAATGTACTACAAGATGCAGTTTCTTTCCAAAAAGCGATAAGCGCCAAACCTATTTTTAGCCTAAACGCGATAAATCCTCTCGACTAATCAGAATTCGGTGAACGTTCTACGCAATCCAACAGGGTGGCGCTCTGAACAGAGGTTTGTTTATGTTCATTTATTCCTCAAAATGAGTGAGTTTTCTAGTCGACTAGTAGTAGTTCATTTAAGTTTAATCACATATTTATATTGATTTAATTATTTAAATATGGGAGAGAAACCATAATGAGCATTTTTTTTTATTGCCTATTCCGCATCTCACGCATAAAGCTTGCCACAAAGAACCGACAAAAGTAATGATTAGGCCTATGCATGAAACATTTGAATTGTTTATTTTTTAATTAGTGTTTTCTGTCAGATATAGCTGCAAGGATAAAGTTGACTACGCTGACTCGCCATCTTCGCAGTAGTGAACGCGTCTATAGAGAGAAATGCACACTTTGTATTAGCCTACATACGCAGAGAGTAGCCAATTTCTTTTCGTTTTTATTGTTTTGTTTAAATGTAGACATTTCAAGCTTTTTATAGATATACTTCTCAGGATTGTGAGGCAAGTATCGCTGTGTTTCGGTCAATTTATGTGATGCTCTCCAGATCACGCGCGGGCGCTTCCGTGTCCTGATTATATGTCTGCTATATTCGCTTCTTATTTATTTATTATTAATCCAGTCAATTTGTTGATGAAACATTGATTAAAATGAAGATACAATTTATACAAAACGAAATTCACTTTAAAGAAAGGCTTTCTACTAAACAAAACTTAATAAGTGGTCAAAATCATGTCTGACCCATTCCAAATGTTTTCCGATATATTGGTCATCTTATGATCCTATCATACTCATCTCATGCGGTTCCCTTTTCATATAATCAACATATATGAAAAAAACAAAAAAAACAATAGCCTATATTATTAAACATAAATATGAAACGTATGTTTAAGTTTTTTTTTTAACTTAGCCTATATGTAAGCGTCACGCCGCTCTGCTTTGTTCACATGCTGTGTAGCCTATACAAGCATGTGTGTGTGTGGTGGAGGGGTGCCCATCACTACTTTTGAATATCGTTATCATTATTAAATATTTTTAATAATTCGTTTTTTTTACGCATATGTAGTGGACAAATTGGTCCTACTTGTTACAGGTTTGACACTTTACTAAAAATTACTCTGAATGTATTACTAAATAACTTATTGAATAGCTATTGATATCATTACTATTTTCAGGTTCTGCACCAAATGACTTCTAGCCTAAATGTGTTACTAAATTTAATTTATAATAATTTATAGTATGAGCCCCTGATTATATGTTACATGCTCTCGTTTTTTTTTTTTTTAAAGACAAACCATACAGTTTTGGAAAAAAATTATGGATTTATAGCGTTTTGGGAAAAAAAAAATTTAACTTTTAATTTATCATAAACAATATTGTTGTTTGATTTAATAATCATTGTTCAACATGTTCAGACTGAGCCAATAAAACATTTTAACAGGATAAATTGAATATTCACAAAATGTGTGGGTCTAGGTAAAAAATGTAATTTTCCTGAAAACTATTGAAATGGATTTATAGCGTTTTGGAAAAGAACTCCTCATATATAAAATATGTGTATATACAAATTATGCATAAATATATATACAGTATATACATGCAAAAGTGTGTTACATGCATATGTGTGTGTATTTATATATACAAAATAATTATACACACATATATTATGTAAACACAAACATTATTTTTGATGTGATTAATCGTTGCACAGCACTAATATAAACACATGCAAACCATAATTAACTACGAAAACAACAGTGTAAGAAATAAGTGCACGATATTATCGGCACGACATCGGAATCAGCCGATAAAGGCTTCAAATGTAATAATCGGCACCAGTCTGATATGAAAAAACGATGCTGATATGCTTTAATGTGTAGCGACAAGATCATGAACTTGTGCATGTATGATGACTAGACTTACTTAAACTTGTGAATGCGAAGAAACTATCAAACCAAAAATGATTCAGACACCAGATATCATTTTTGATATTGTTTCACTAGTGTGATCAGGACACTATAGTTCATTTATGTAAGTGAGGAGAGCAAAATAAAGTAAACTGTGACATATTATACCCAAATATTCTTCATACAGAGACTACCACTAAAAAATTGGGAGCTAAAATGATTCCTCCACTTTGAGCTGATCATGTTTTGCTGAAGTGTGTTTTCTGTAACTGCTAATGCTCTTTTTACACACACACTGAACAACATGAAGCATTGCTTGCTCACTGGTTGAGCTAAACTGGTATTATCTAATTCTGTAGTTAAATTTAAAGGGATACTCCACTTTTTTTGGAAATAGGCTCATTTTACAACTCCCCCAGAGTTAAACTGTTGAGTTTTACCGTTTTTGAATCCATTCAGCCGATCTCCGGTTCTGGCGGTACCACTTTTAGCATAGCTTAGCATACATCATTGAAGTGGACAAGACCATTAGCATTTCTCAAAAAAAAATGACCAAAGAGATTCGATATTTTTCCTATTTAACTCATGGTACGGCAGTAAAGTTTCTTGATTATTACGTAGCACGATGTAACTACAGAAGAGTCAAGTTTTAAATAGGAAAAATATCGAAACTCTTTGGTAATTTTTTTTTTTAGAAATGCTAATTGTCCACTTCAATGATGTATGCTAAGCTATGCTAAAAGTGGTACCGCCAGAACCGGAGATCGGCTGAATGGATTCAAAAACGGTAAAACTCAACAGTTTAACTCTGGGGGAGTTGTAAAATAAGCCTATTTCCAAAAAAAGTGGAGTATCCCTTTAACAGCTGACAGATATTCAACATAATTCATGTGTGAGAGTCTAACAGAAGGACGGACAAAACCTGTGAAATACCCACTGAGTTCTGCTCATACTTTATTACCGTTTTCTAAACTATAGTGAATAAACGGTGATAATGTGAGAAATGTTGAAGGTGTCTGAATACATTTAGGTTTGACTGTAAACTGAGAGCTGACACACACACACACACACTGACCGTGTCTCTGAGACTGTCCACTTTGAACCACTCCAGGAGCTTCTTGCCGACGTCCATAGGGCTGTCCAGGAAGGTGCGGTGTGTGAGGAGGAAGTCCTCGATGTACGTGGGGTCGACCACTGACGGCTCCTCCACCAGGTGCAGGATCAGCCGCTCAGGGGTGCCCTGATTCACAAAACATTCTGGAGTATGAATTTTGGTAACACTTTATTTTACAGTGTCCTTGTCACATATATTACATGTACTTACCATAGTAATAACAGTAAATTATGCATAACTACATGCAACTAACCCTCAACCAAACCCTAACCCTATAGTCCATCGGTTCCCAACAGGGGGGTCGCGTCATATTTTGAAAGGTTTGAGCAATGAACATTAAATAAAAGTCCTTAACTTTTTTTCTGTTCAAAATTTACAAAATGTATATAAATGAACGAGTTCATCATGAATCCATTTTCCAATCCGTGTTTTTGTCTTATCCCGAAGCACTTTGGTACACCTATAATAAGTGTTTACATTGGGACTATTTTACACTGGTTCGGATGCGGAGTAGCCCGGTGCCTGCATGACTCGTCATAGACGTACACAGAGAGAAGTAGTTCCTGCTACAATGTTCTTCCGAAAGGCGCATTATTCTGTTAATAAGTGCAAGTTTATTATCGCTCGCTATAGCGCCAACAGCGTAAAAAATAAAGCCTCACATTGATAAAGCCTCACAAATAACATGCAAATATTGAGGCCCCAGACAGCAGTCATTTAGTAATTGCCTATATTCTTTTTTTTTTTTTTTTACCTACTCACCAGTGTGAATATTTTTGTTTTTGCATTTCAAATAGGGCCGATATATAGGCTTCTCCCAGGCTTACGTTTTTAAAATTACAAAGGGCCTACTGATGTTTTTGTTATTGTATTTTCAATATTATAGGCTATTATTTGTGCATAAACATACCGTTTGAAAAAAAAAACATATTTTGTCATCCTTGCTGCAAGCTTACAAGAGCGATAATATCATTAAATGTGAGGGGGTGTAAAATGTAAAAAGTCAGTACATGTAGTTGCTTAATATTACTCAGTGCTTAAATATATCATTACACTGTAACAATGACACCTTAAAATAAAGTGTAACCTTGATTTTTAAGGGCAATTTGTTGAGGTCAATTTGTAGAGAAAGACTACGCACATGCGCATATACATATTCAAACGCGCATATCTATAGACTAAACACGTGATACGCATGTGCACGCCGTCAGCGCTCTCACAGACGGAGATTATCACGTTTTTCAAAAGTTTTTTCATTTAAAACGGTGTCACGGAAGTGAATCAATCAAAACTAACTTTATCTGGACAAAAACTTTATTCTAGAGCTGCTGTAAAGCCTAAACAATCTATATTGTTAAAGCGCTGTATAAATGAAGGCGACTTGACTTGACACTACTAAACCATTGTTTGTTTTTATGCACTGCCAGTTTTGGGCTATTTTGTTTGAAAAAACAAAACAAATTTAAGTGTTTATTTTATTGCACTTTTGTCTATTTGCGACTGCAGATTTTAGAAGGTTAGAAATCTCCACTTACACCAGACTTTACAGTGTTATTCCAATCTATATTCATATATCATGAATCATAAATGAAGGGGACTTGACACACACAACACAAGAGCACCTGACGCACAGCATGAGGACCGGAGACTGAAGTGTACACAGGCCATCACTCGAGTCATGTGATGTCTAGAAAACAACTGGAACAACAGACAGCAACTGACGTCTTCATGATCATATTATTCAGGGTTCCCACACCTCAAACTCAAGGACCTTTCAAGGACTTTCCAGGTCCAACACCCTCAAATTCAAGGACTTAATGTGTGGACACCAGTGTTGGGCAAGTTACTTTTAAAAAGTAATTTAGTTAATTTAGTTCTTCAAAAAAGTAACTAAATTAGTTACTCAGTTACAAATTTGAAAAGTAACTAGTTACTTAAGAAAGTAACTATTGCGTTACTTTCAAGTAAAATTCAATTTTAAATGCTCAAATGTGACCCCACCTCTACCCTGTCCGACTATGTGTTATGATGGATCGTTCGCAATTCATGAGCGTTAGCCGTTAGTGATGATGGGTCGACTCGTTCGCGAATGAGCGTTAGTGATGATGGGTCGACTCGTTCGCGAATGAGCGTTAGTGATGATGGGTCGACTCGTTCGCGAATGAGCGTTAGTAATGATGGATCGTTCGCGAATGAGCGTTAGTGATGATGGGTCGTTCGCGAATGAGCGTTAGTAATGATGGATCGTTCGCGAATGAGCGTTAGTGATGATGGGTCGTTCGCGAATGAGCGTTAGTGATGATGGGTCGTTCGCGAATGAGCGTTAGTGATGATGGGTCGTTCGCGAATGAGCGTTAGTGATGATGGGTCGACTCGTTTTAGCCGAGCCGGCTCTTTTAGGTGAACGTCGGGAGCTGGCTCGCATATCTGAAGAGCCAACTCTATTTTTACAAAATGTAGCCTATAGAAATTAAATAATTATGTAATAAAAATTAAAATATTATAGTCAAAGTCATTTAAAGAGCCGTTTGTAAACCAAAAGAGCCGACTCTTTTCAGTGAGCCGAGTCAAAAGAGCCGAACGCCCATCACTACTATGCGTGCTTTCGAACACCCGCCCAACTCTACCTCTGATTGGCTTACAATGACACTTTACTCTACCTCAGCCAATCGTCAGCATTCATGCGCTTGTCTCGTGCTCTGCCCACTAACCAAGGAAGAACAGTAAAAAAAGTATTTGCCTCTCGCTCAGAGATCTAGTTGGTCTGATAAAAAAACCAGCTTCATCAGTTATAGTAACGCGCCGCATTTTTTGGCAGAAACGGTAACAGCGTTATTAAGATGAGAAGAGTAATCAATTAGATTACTCGTTACTGGAAAAAGAAATGCCGTTAGTATTCCCATCACTGGTGGACACATGTTCTGTCCAACAACAAGCGTTGAGGTTTCATCGTAGTAGTTTTGTGAGTGTGTGAACGTCATGGACACGTACAACACAAAGCACCTCACGCGGGAAACACTTTACGTAACGCGTAAATGCGCGTAACTAGCGTGAATCAAGCAAGCTAGTGCCGGCGGAATAACACGTTAGCGGACCGGAGGGAATAATCCAGACAATTAACAACAAGAAAATACATTTCTGTAACGAGCTGTATCTGTGTGTGTTTATTTTCAAAAAAAGTTCCAGGGCCTTTAATTTTTCCCCCCAGATTTTCCCAGAGGGCCTTGGATCGGCAAAATACACTGAAATATTGTTTGAAAAATAAAGACGACATCCCTGGGATTTAGCATGACATCAGACTAGAGATAGGGCCAGTGTAATTTCAGTGATAATATCAGTATTCACACACACACATTTCATAAATTTCAGGTTTTGAGACCTAATAGGACCAATTGTCTTATTGAGTATTGGGACATAACAGTTTTATTAACCTACAACTGGATACATCTACACAAGTATAGTCCACTAAGAGTGAATGCCTGAGTAGGACTTGCCTAGTCTTCACACCGGACCCAGGATTGAAACTAAGATTAAAAAAATTAAGTAAAAAATAATATTAAATAAACAAAAGTCTTTCGGTCAAAGAGAAAATCCTAAATTTGTGGGTTCATATTTTATTTTATTATTATTTAGTTTGACTCCCAATAATTCGTTGAAATGAATTGTTTAACTTTTCCAATGACCCAACCAACCTATAAATGTTTTGATTCGTCCCACATGTGAACAAAACGACAAACTAAATATCTGAGGGACAGACAGAAACGATCACCTCCACACACACACACATCAAGAGACACACATTTGCTGCTCGTCTTTGCAAGTAAACAAAGATAAAAAATGCTCCAAAAAACAACCCCAGCAAAAGACGATGGATGATGACATCACGGTTTTCTCCAGAGTGAGTATAAATGAACTAAATTAATAACTTTTTCACAACAGAAATGAACCATCACTGAACTTTCTCAAGCTGGACTTTTCTTCTTGACACAAACACTGTTGCATTATTTTCCTGTTATCTCTGTAAAGCTGCTCTGATACGATCTGACCCTGAGCGTCTGGTTTACAGCCAATCAGAAGAGTCGCAGCTGCTCTGAGAGATGAGCCACTGCAGATCACACTCGCATGAGGAGGGAAAGGGAAACGCTTCGAGTCCGAGACACTGTAACTCGCACAGAAACTGCGTTCTTATGAAACCAGAGGGTGAGAGTCAATCTCGCCATACTTCCCCAGGTCATTCAATCACTCTTCATTAAGACATTCAAATAATTAAATCATTTTTAAAACATGTTTTCTGGAATGTTCAAATATGCAAATGAGGCATTATCTAATTAAATATGCACTCATAATTTTGCATACATCTCCAGAACAGAAACTTGCACATTGGATAAAGCCAGGTTCAAAATTCTCGTTTGATTTTGTTGAAATCAAAAGGGGACTTTTGATAAATCAGAGGGAAAAAATGTTTTTAGGAATATAATGTAAATCAGGCGATTGATATATGATTATAGATTGGAAAAACACTGTAAAGTCTGGTGTAAGTGGAGATTTCTAACCTTGTAAAATCTACAGTCGCAAATAGACAAAAGTGCAATAAAATAAACACTTAAATTTGGATTGTGGATGTTTTTTTCTTTTCATAAAATAGCCCAAAACTGACAAACAATGGTTTTGTATTGTCAAGTCAAGTCACCTTCATTTATATAGCGCTTTTAACAATATAGAGTTTCACCGCAGCTTTACAGTGATAACAGGAGATTACAGTAACAGAGATAGTTTAGGCTTTACAGCAGCTCTAGAATAAAGTTATTGTCCTGATAAAGTTAGTTTAGTCTTAAGTCGTTTTAAACCTTGGGTTGGTGTATTAAGGGTCATCTTGTGATGCTTTTTGTTCATTGTTTTTTTTTTGTGGCCACAGTGACATTAAAATGAAGATCCTACATTAGTAATGACTTCCTCGACTTGATCTTGAGCTTGTAGTTCAAAAACGACGCTTTAAATCTCTTGACAAACTCAAAGACGTAAATGACACTTGTGTGTGTTCTAGATTAAAGACACCGGTTGCACTGAATGTCAGCTTGCTTATTTTGCTCAAGATCAGGATTTATTGAGTCCACATGTCATGAACACTAGAAACTCTGCTTCTAACCACAGCTCAAGATCTGTCACTCACACACACACCTCTGAGATGCTGTCACTCACACACACACCTCTGAGATGCTGTCACTCACACACACAACTCTGAGATGCTGTCGCTCACACACACAACTCTGAGATGCTGTCACTCACACACACAACTCTGAGATGCTGTCGCTCACACACACACAACTCTGAGATGCTGTCGCTCACACACACACAACTCTGAGATGCTGTCGCTCACACACACAACTCTGAGATGCTGTCGCTCACACACACAACTCTGAGATGCTGTCGCTCACACACACAACTCTGAGATGCTGTCGCTCACACACACACCTCTGAGATGCTGTCGCTCACACACACACAACTCTGAGATGCTGTGTGCGAATGGTTTCTGGAAACACAGACTCGATGAACTGATGATAACGATGGAACTTGCGACCATAGTTGGCTAACGATGCTTTCGGGGAAACGCAACACTGAATAACTGAACCGCCAGAACGCATGAATTAATAATGATGAATTCCTCACCTTGATGACGATGTGGCCCTTCCTGGTGCCGCTGCGGTCGAGCTCGCGGTGCTCCTTCACCATCACGATCTCGCCCTCCTCCTCCACCTTGTGTGTGTTCTTCTCCACATGGTTGAGGATGCGACAGTAGTCCTCTTGAGCGACGCACACAAACTGATCCACAACAACATGAGGAAGAGCGATGAACTGAGAGTAGCGCAGGAGGTTAGTCTGAACCAGACATGGATAACACACACTATCACAGCGCCAGCTCATGAGTGCGACATGTGTGTGTGTGTGTGTGTGAGAGCGAGCGCAGGGTTCACGGCGTTAGAGGAAGTTGAGGTGGAGTCTTTATTTTGAGGAATCAGCAGCGCTGCTATATTAGGAGGCTTTTACATTCGGACCCTGACCACGACACTTCATGACCGGCAGAGATAACAGTGTGAGGGACCGAAACACCACAGACATCATAGAGTCCCGTCAGAATAAGGAATGACCCCAATATATGATATTCTCAGAGAAAAACAGTGAAAAACTAACTAAACTGGAGATTTGTGGCCCTAACAATCAGGAATGACCCCCAATATTTTATATTCTCAGAGAAAAACTAATTAAACTGGAGATCTGTGGCCCTAATAATCAGGAATGACCCCCAATATTTCATATTCTTAGAGAAAAAAATAGAAAAACTAACTAAACTGGAGATTTGTGGCCCTAATAATCAGGAATGAGCCCCAATATTTCATATTCTTAGAGAAAAATAGAGAAAAACTAACTAAACGGGAGATCTGTGGCCCTAACAATCAGGAATGACCCCCAATATTTTATATTCTTAGAGAAAAAAATAGAAAAACTAACTAAACTGGAGATTTGTGGCCCTAATAATCAGGAATGACCCCCAATATTTCATATTCTTAGAGAAAAAAATAGAAAAACTAACTAAACTGGAGATTTGTGGCCCTAATAATCAGGAATGACCCCCAATATTTCATATTCTTAGAGAAAAATAGAGAAAAACTAACTAAACTGGAGATTTGTGGCCCTAACAATCAGGAATGACCCCCAATATTTCATATTCTTAGAGAAAAATAGAGAAAAACTAACTAAACTGGAGATTTGTGGCCCTAATAATCAGGAATGACCCCCAATATTTGATATTCTCAGAGAAAAATTTAGAAAAACTAACTAAACTGGAGATTCGTGGCCCTAATAATCAGAAATAACGTCTCGGTTACTAATGTAACCTCAGTTCTCTCTAGAAGAGGGAACGAGTGTTGCGTAAGCTAGCTTATGCTACGGAAAAAAACCTCTTTTCTCGAGAATACTGAAGCCAAAAATTATCCTTATAATTTGTATTAATTTAAAACGCATTTGCTGCAGCGAGCAGACCTAGGCGAGGCAGCTCGCGTGCCTATTGGCTGCTCTGCGGCAACGGCTGCAACCTATCGAGGAACTGCTCGTGACCTAAGCACCAATGAGGGTGCTGGCGCCCTCAGTCATCACATCCCGCGCGAATGGGCGTGGCTTATGCCTATATAAGCCAGAGCTCGATAGGATGCTCCTTGATTTTCATCAACTGAAGCGAAACCAGATGGTAGCACAAGCACGGCGGGGTTACGCAACACTCGTTCCCTCTTCTAGAGAGAACCGAGGTTACGTTAGTAACCGAGACGTTTTCTTACGAGAGTACTCTCGTGTTGCGTAAGCTAGCTTACGCTACGGGAAACCAATTTAAAACGCTGTGCGTGCTAAATCTACCACAACACTGACCCAAGGTCGAGTGCCCTGAGCTCATATGATACGGGGATATAAAAAGCCGAAGGATGGGCTGATTAAGAATGATATAAGGCAAATGTGGTTACCTTAAGTGAACAAAGGTGCTTAACACTGTATTACAGTCAGAGGAGGCAATAGCCTGCCTGAACTGAAACTTTGCAGTTTGCGGAAGCGAATCCGGCAGAACTGAGCAGATTAACTAGACTGATAACAATCTAGCTTGAAGAGCGGGAACTTCCAGGTTATAGAACCTTATAAATGTAGACGGAGAGGCCCAGCCTGCCGCCATACAAATATCTTGAAGAGAAATCCCACTGGACCAGGCCCACGAAGAGGCCACGCCTATAGTGGAATAAGCTCTGACGCCCAGAGGGCAACGAAGGCCCTTAGATGCATAAGCCAGTGAGATAGCGTCCACTATCCACCTGGAAAGGCTATGTTTCGAGGCTAGACCTTTAGATCGGCCACCAAAAGAATCAAAGAGCTGTTCTGACTGTCTGAAAGCAGCCGAACTTTCCACGTAAATTCTCAGGGCCCTAACTGGGCAAAGGAGATTCACGTCAGACTCGCTGTCAGATCCGAAGAGGGCTGACAGGGAAATGACTTGCGCTCTGAAAGGAGTGGCAAGTACTTTGGGGACATAACCATGTCTCGGTTTGAGGATGACCTTAGAGTCATTAGGCCCAAACTCAAGGCAAGACGCGCTAACAGAAAGTGCGTGTAAGTCACCCACCCGCTTGACTGAGGCGATTGCCACCAGAAAGGCGGTTTTCAACGAGAGATACTTAAGGTCCACAGACTGCAGAGGTTCAAAAGCGTGATCTTGGGCCTGGGTCCCCGAGGAAGCCTGGAACGGCCAGCCGAGCTCGAGCGTTGGCGCTCTCTCGGTCGCTGACGCTGAGAAGCTGGCGGTGGAGGCTGCTTTCCGGGTAGGCGGCTGTTTCCTAGAGCGTCCTGATGCGGAACTCGAGCGTCGAGGGATGAAGTGTTGCATAGCCTGCGACGTCTTCTGGACCTCTGAAAAACGCTCCACAAACCCATCAACAGCTTGCCCGAAAAGCCCGGAAGGAGATACAGGCGCGTCAAGGATGGAGGCTCTGTCAGCGTCCTTCATATCTGACAACGTCAGCCACAAATGTCTCTCGACAACGGTGAGGGACGCCATGTTCCTCCCGATGGCCTGAGCGGCGGACTTGGTGGCTCGCAGAGCTAGGTCTGTGGCGCTCCTCAAGTCCATAAAGCTGTCGGGGTCCGTGCCCGCCTCGTCCATGGAACGGAGAAGGTTGGCTTGGTATATCTGCAGCACTGCCATAGTGTGGCGTGCTGAGGCGGCCTGGCCAGCGGCGGTGTAAGCGCGGCTGACGAAGGCGGAAGTAGTTGGCAGGCTTTAGAAGGCAAAGCGGCTTTAGAACGCCATCCAGCAGAGGGAGGGCAAAGGTGCGTTGCGATCGCTTCCTCGATCGGAGGAATGGAAACATAACCTTTGTCCTTCGCGCCGTCCACAACAGAGAGCGTCGAAGAGACAGATGATCGCAGCCTGGGCGAAAAAGGAGCCTTCCAGGATTTCGAAAGCTCCTCGTGCAGTTCGAGAAGAAATGGGGCGGGCCTCGTGGGAGGTGCTGAGCGGCGACCGGGGAGAAAGCAGCCGTCGAGACTGTTGGGCACGGGCTCATCGGGCAGTGCCCAATCCAGGCCGAGGTCCTCCACGGCCTTCGTGAGGAGGTGGAGAAGCTCGGCGTCGACGCTGGCTCTAATCCCACTGGACTCTTGAAGAGAAGGGGCGGGGACCGGAACGGAACCCGACCACTCTTCACTCCCCGAGGCGAGAAGAGAACAGCCGCCCTCTTCGTCGTCCCCTTCCGACTCGTCACGGGAGATGGGAGCAGCCGAAGTCGGGCGCTGGCCATCGGTGAGTGACACAGGGGAAAGCGAAGCACGTGCATTCGTCCACTGGAACCTCCTCAGGCGGCCTCTGAGACTGGCGCTGCTTACGGTGCGGCGCAGAAGAGGCAATCCACGTTGAAGATGGCCAGTCGAGCGCGCAGGGTCGACAAGGCCATGGTGTCGCACTCGGGACATCCGCCCTTGGACAGCGCGTGGTCCGCGTGGTCTCGGCCCAAGCAGGAAGCGCACAGGATATGACGGTCCCCGTTGGCGAGAGGGGCTCTGCACGAGCCACAGGAAATACGAGGCATTTGTATCAACGCCTCAGCTCTTTTAGTCAGAGAAAAACATGAGTGTCTAGGTGGCGAACGGAGCGTAACAAGGGATATGGGTGCCGGATAGCGCAACGGGAACGGCGACTGAAGGCGGCGAGAAGACGACCGGCTTCCTCAGACAGCTCGTCCCCCTGAAAAGGCTGTTCGACGGCGCAGGCTTCTTCTCCGATATCCAGCGATGCGAAGGCTTCGCTGAAGAGATGAAAATCAAGGAGCATCCTATCGAGCTCTAGCTTATATAGGCATAAGCCACGCCCATTTGCGCGGGACGTGTGCCCTCATTGGTGCTTACGTCACGAGCAGTCCCTCGATAGGTTGCAGCCGTTGCCGCAGAGCAGCCAATAGGCACGCGAGCTGCCTCGCCTAGGTCTGCTCGCTGCAGCAAATGCGTTTTAAATTAATACAAATTAGAAGGATAATTTTTGGCTTCAGTATTCTCAAGAAAAGAGGTTTTTGCCGTAGCGTAAGCTAGCTTACACAACACTCGTTCCCTCTTCTAGATAGAACCGAGGTTACATTAGTAACCGAGACGTTATTTCAGATTATTAGGGTCACAAATCTCCAGTTTATTTAGTTTTTCTCTATTTTTCTCTGAGAATATCAAATATTGGGGGTCATTCCTGATTATTAGGGCCACGGATCTCCAGTTTAGTTAGTTTTTCTCTATTTTTCTCTGAGAATATCAAATATTGGGGGTCATTCCTGATTATTAGGCTCACGGATCTCCAGTTTAGTTAGTTTTTCTCTATTTTCTCTGAGAATATCAAATATTGGGGGTCATTCCTGATTATTAGGGCCACGGATCTCCAGTTTAGTTAGTTTTTCTCTATTTTTCCCTGAGAATATCAAATATTGGGGGTCATTCCTGATTATTAGGGCCACGGATCTCCAGTTTAGTTAGTTTTTCTCTGAGAATATCAAATATTGGGGGTCATTCCTGATTATTAGGGCCACGGATCTCCAGTTTAGTTTGTTTTTCTCTGAGAATATCAAATATTGGGGGTCATTCCTGATTATTAGGCTCAGGGATCTCCAGTTTAGTTAGTTTTTCTCTATTTTCTCTGAGAATATCAAATATTGGGGGTCATTCCTGATTATTAGGGCCACAGATCTCCAGTTTAGTTAGTTTTTCTCTATTTTCTCTAAGAATATGAAATATTGGGGGTCATTCCTGATTATTAGGGCCACGGATCTCCAGTTTAGTTAGTTTTTCTCTATTTTTCCCTGAGAATATCAAATATTTGGGGTCATTCCTGATTATTAGGGCCAGAGATTTTTCCATATTTTCAACTTTTTAGTTCGTAATTCACTTTTTTCAGAATTGTATCTTTTTATCTCATGATTTTTACTTTTATCTTTTTCTTACATAACATCTCATAATGACATATATATTCATTTTTTACATTTGATCTTTGATCTTTGTTTTGTCATAATTTTTGTTTATCTAATTTTTTTACCATAATTTTCACTTTTTTATCATAATGATGACATAGTATGTCATAATTTGAACTTTTATCTCATAGTATTAGTACTTTTTATCATAATTATGACAGCAATTTCAACTTTTTATTTCATAATTTTGGATTTTATCTCATTTGCATCTCATCTCTTTTTATTTTTATCATAATGAAGACATAGTATGTCATAATTTGACCTTTCATCTGATGGTCTCTCCAGGAACAGAACTGGACACCCTGAAGTATCTCATAACTTCTGCGTTTCGTGTCATGATCTCCTCCTGATGTGGCGAGGCATGTTTAGCTCGCGGCGTGAGAGCTCGGCTGTGGCGAGGCATGTTTAGCTGGTGCGCGTGAGAAGCTCACCTGGCTGTCGTCGGCTTTGGTGCACACGAGGCCGCTCATGAACTGTGTGTCGAGAGACGGAGCGATGCCGAAGCTGTTGCCCATACACAGCATCTCTGCTCTTCCCTCTCCATAACTGATCTCCACACACCCGTTCAGGATCACGTACCACGTGTTCAGCTGCAAACACAACAGAGCACACTTAGATCACACACACACACACACACTAGTGTTCAGCTGCAAACACAACAGAGCACACTTAGATCACACACACACACACACACTAGTGTTCAGCTGCAAACACAACAGAGCACACTTAGATCACACACACACAAACACTAGTGTTCAGCTGCAAACACAACAGAGCACACTTAGATCAACACACACACACACACACACACACACTAGTGTTCAGCTGCAAACACAACAGAGCACACTTAGATCAACACACACACACACACACACACACACTAGTGTTCAGCTGCAAACACAACAGAGCACACTTAGATCACACACACACACAAACACTAGTGTTCAGCTGCAAACACAACAGAGCACACTTAGATCAACACACACACACACACACACACACACACACACACACTAGTGTTCAGCTGCAAACACAACAGAGCACACTTAGATCAACACACACACACACACTAGTGTTCAGCTGCAAACACAACAGAGCACACTTAGATCAACACACACACACACACACACACACTAGTGTTCAGCTGCAAACACAACAGAGCACACTTAGATCACACACACACACAAACACTAGTGTTCAGCTGCAAACACAACAGAGCACACTTAGATCAACACACACACACACACACTAGTGTTCAGCTGCAAACACAACAGAGCACACTTAGATCACACACACACACACACACACACTAGTGTTCAGCTGCAAACACAACAGAGCACACTTAGATCAACACACACACACACACACACACACTAGTGTTCAGCTGCAAACACAACAGAGCACACTTAGATCACACACACACACAAACACTAGTGTTCAGCTGCAAACACAACAGAGCACACTTAGATCAACACACACACACACACACACACACACACACACACACTAGTGTTCAGCTGCAAACACAACAGAGCACACTTAGATCAACACACACACACACACACTAGTGTTCAGCTGCAAACACAACAGAGCACACTTAGATCAACACACACACACACACACACACACACACTAGTGTTCAGCTGCAAACACAACAGAGCACACTTAGATCACACACACACACAAACACTAGTGTTCAGCTGCAAACACAACAGAGCACACTTAGATCAACACACACACACACACACTAGTGTTCAGCTGCAAACACAACAGAGCACACTTAGATCACACACACACACAAACACTAGTGTTCAGCTGCAAACACAACAGAGCACACTTAGATCAACACACACACACACACACTAGTGTTCAGCTGCAAACACAACAGAGCACACTTAGATCACACACACACACACTAGTGTTCAGCTGCAAACACAACAGAGCACACTTAGATCAACACACACACACACACTAGTGTTCAGCTGCAAACACAACAGAGCACACTTAGATCACACACACACACACTAGTGTTCAGCTGCAAACACAACAGAGCACACTTAGATCACACACACACACACTAGTGTTCAGCTGCAAACACAACAGAGCACACTTAGATCACACACACACACAAACACTAGTGTTCAGCTGCAAACACAACAGAGCACACTTAGATCACACACACACACACTAGTGTTCAGCTGCAAACACAACAGAGCACACTTAGATCACACACACACACACTAGTGTTCAGCTGCAAACACAACAGAGCACACTTAGATCACACACACACACACACACACACACACACACACACACACACACACACACACACACACACACACACACACACTAGTGTTCAGCTGCAAACACAACAGAGCACACTTAGATCACACACACACACACACACAAACTAGTGTTCAGCTCCAAACACAACAGAGCACACTTAGATCATCGTGTGTGTGTGTGTGTTTGTGTGTTGATCTAAGTGTGCTCTGTTGTGTTTGCAGCTGAACACTAGTGTGTGTGTGTGTGTGTGTGTGTGTGTGTGTTGATCTAAGTGTGCTCTGTTGTGTTTGCAGCTGAACACTTGTGTGTGTGTGTGTGTGTGTGTGTGTGTGTGTGTGTGTGTTGATCTAAGTGTGCTCTGTTGTGTTTGCAGCTGAACACTAGTGTGTGTGTGTGTGTGTGTGTGTGTGTGTGATCTAAGTGTGCTCTGTTGTGTTTGCAGCTGAACACGTGTGTGTGTGTGTGTGTGTGTGTGTGTGTGTGATCTAAGTGTGCTCTGTTGTGTTTTCAGCTGAACACTAGTGTGTGTGTGTGTGTGTGTGTGTGTGTGTGTGTGTGTGTGTGTGTGTGTGTGTGTGTGTGTGTGTGATCTAAGTGTGCTCTGTTGTGTTTGCAGCTGAACACTAGTGTGTGTCTACAAGTGAATCTGCTTAAATATCTTGACCTTTGAGTCACTCTTTGTGTTTCCGTCTCTCTCTTCTCTCATTAAGAAAGAGTGTGTCTTGTTGACCTTCACTGTAGCCCACACACACACACACTGTTGATCAATGTGATCCGTCATGACAGACTGCACACCCTCTTTTAAAACCGCTCAAACACACACACTGCTCTCACACTTTTCATCACTGAAACAATTCACAGCATTCAACAACTTTGCTTGTATTGTGGTCTCAGGAACAGTTTCTTCACTCTTAACCGGCCTCAGGATGCGGGAGTGTTTCTCAGTGCAAGCTCCAGGAGGAGCACTAGTAACTTACAGACTGGGTTACAAATAGGGCTGGGTTACACATATGAATGCATTTGTTTGTGATTCGATTCTTAAATCCCAAGATCTATGCTATTTTCAGCATATCAATTTCATATTCAATTTCTGTCATTTTTATACTTAATTTCACTCAATAAGTGTGTGTTTGTGGGCCCTATCTTGCACCCAGCGCAATTGACTTTTACACGACGCATGTATCATTCCTATTTTGCGCTCGACGCACGTCGGTAAATCCGGGAATGAACTTGCGCTCGCGGGGCGGTTCAGGGAAAGAGGAGGCGTGTCCCGGCGCAAACGTTCCCTGGTGCTGTTGAGCAGTTCCAGAAAACACTTACTCCACAGACCAGGACAAACCCAGTCTAAAGTCGTGCGTTATTCAGATGCTATTTTAGGGGCGCATGCGTGGCCATTATGTAGCGTGTGCACAACACACACACACTTCTCTCATACACACAGACGCAGCCGTTCCCATTTTGGCAAACCATACATAATTGCAAGGAAAAATATTACCACATGAGGGAAATCATTGTGGTGTCCATGAAGATAAAGCCTGTTTAACTGAAACTAATCTGGGTGTGTTTCTCCATCCTGTGAACTTTGTTTCTCCTAGGCTGTGAACGCCGGTCTCCTCGGCTGTGAACTCCGGTCTCCTCGGCTGAGAACGCCGGTCTCCTCGGCTGTGAACGCCGGTCTCCTCGGCTGAGAACGCCGGTCTCCTCGGCTGTGAACTCCGGTCTCCTAGGCTGTGAACGCCGGTCTCCTCGGCTGTGAACGCCGGTCTCCTCGGCTGTGAACGCCGGTCTCCTAGGCTGTGAACGCCGGTCTCCTCGGCTGTGAACTCCGGTCTCCTCGGCTGAGAACGCCGGTCTCCTCGGCTGTGAACGCCGGTCTCCTCGGCTGAGAACGCCGGTCTCCTCGGCTGTGAACTCCGGACTCCTCGGCTGTGAACGCCGGTCTCCTCGGCTGTGAACGCCGGTCTCCTCGGCTGAGAACTCCGGTCTCCTCGGCTGAGAACGCCGGTCTCCTCGGCTGTGAACGCCGGTCTCCTCGGCTGTGAACGCCGGTCTCCTCGGCTGAGAACGCCGGTCTCCTAGGCTGTGAACGCCGGTCTCCTCGGCTGTGAACTCCGGTCTCCTCGGCTGAGAACGCCGGTCTCCTCGGCTGTGAACGCCGGTCTCCTCGGCTGAGAACGCCGGTCTCCTCGGCTGTGAACTCCGGACTCCTCGGCTGTGAACGCCGGTCTCCTCGGCTGTGAACGCCGGTCTCCTCGGCTGAGAACTCCGGTCTCCTCGGCTGAGAACGCCGGTCTCCTCGGCTGTGAACGCCGGTCTCCTCGGCTGTGAACGCCGGTCTCCTCGGCTGAGAACGCCGGTCTCCTCGGCTGTGAACGCCGGTCTCCTCGGCTGAGAACTCCGGTCTCCTCGGCTGTGAACTCCGGACTCCTCGGCTGTGAACGCCGGACTCCTCGGCTGAGAACGCCGGTCTCCTCGGCTGAGAACGCCGGTCTCCTCGGCTGAGAACTCCGGTCTCCTCGGCTGTGAACTCCGGACTCCTCGGCTGTGAACGCCGGACTCCTCGGCTGAGAACGCCGGTCTCCTCGGCTGTGAACGCCGGTCTCCTCGGCTGAGAACTCCGGTCTCCTCGGCTGTGAACTCCGGACTCCTCGGCTGTGAACGCCGGACTCCTCGGCTGTGAACTCCGGACTTCTCGGCTGTGAACGCCGGTCTCCTCGGCTGAGAACGCCGGTCTCCTCGGCTGTGAACTCCGGACTCCTCGGCTGAGAACGCCGGTCTCCTCGGCTGTGAACGCCGGACTCCTCGGCTGTGAACTCCGGACTTCTCGGCTGAGAACGCCGGTCTCCTCGGCTGAGAACGCCGGTCTCCTCGGCTGTGAACTCCGGACTCCTCGGCTGAGAACGCCGGTCTCCTCGGCTGTGAACGCCGGTCTCCTCGGCTGTGAACGCCGGTCTCCTCGGCTGAGAACGCCGGTCTCCTTGGCTGAGAACGCCAACGCCGGTCTCCTCGGCTGAGAACGCCGGTCTCCTCGGCTGTGAACGCCGGTCTCCTCGGCTGAGAACGCCGGTCTCCTCGGCTGTGAACGCCGGTCTCCTCGGCTGTGAACGCCGGTCTCCTCGGCTGTGAACGCCGGTCTCCTCGGCTGTGAACGCCGGTCTCCTCGGCTGTGAACGCCGGTCTCCTAGGCTGTGAACGCCGGTCTCCTAGGCTGTGAACGCCGATCTCCTCGGCTAAGAAAGCGCCGGACTCCTCGGCTGTGAACGCCGGTCTCCTCGGCTGAGAACGCCGGACTCCTCGGCTGTGAACGCCGGTCTCCTCGGCTGTGAACGCCGGTCTCCTCGGCTGTGAACGCCGGTCTCCTAGGCTGTGAACGCCGGTCTCCTAGGCTGTGAACGCCGATCTCCTCGGCTAAGAAAGCGCCGGACTCCTCGGCTGTGAACGCCGGTCTCCTCGGCTGAGAACGCCGGACTCCTCGGCTGTGAACGCCGGTCTCCTCGGCTGTGAACGCCGGTCTCCTCGGCTGTGAACGCCGGTCTCCTAGGCTGTGAACGCCGGTCTCCTAGGCTGTGAACGCCGATCTCCTCGGCTAAGAAAGCGCCGGACTCCTCGGCTGTGAACGCCGGTCTCCTCGGCTGAGAACGCCGGACTCCTCGGCTGTGAACGCCGGTCTCCTCGGCTGTGAACGCCGGTCTCCTCGGCTGTGAACGCCGGTCTCCTAGGCTGTGAACGCCGGTCTCCTCGGCTGAGAACGCCGGACTCCTCGGCTGTGAACGCCGGTCTCCTCGGCTGTGAACGCCGGTCTCCTCGGCTGTGAACGCCGGTCTCCTCGGCTGAGAACGCCGGTCTCCTCGGCTGAGAACGCTCCTGGCATTCGTCTGCAAATCCGCCGTTATTATAGCGATCCGCCATGGACAAGCGCGCTGGCTCTTAAAGGGAATGTGAGACGACGCTCTGATTGGTTTATTGCATGTTACGCCCAAACCACACCTATGAGTAATGTAGCGACTTCAGACCAACACAGTTTAGATTACGGTAGCGTCGGACGCAAGAGTCATTTATCCCGCCAGTATAATAGCCACAGCGCCCCGAAAATTACTTGCGTTTTGCGTTTGATACTTGCGTTTCAGGTCGTTAAAATAGGGCCCTGTGTCTCTTTAATGCGTGACAGATCGCTGTAGCGCCTCAGTTCATCTCTTCCTCTTTACTACTAGTTACAGCAGCAAATAAACATCAATGAATATCAGAAGGATACAGAACAACTTACATTTCATGTAATCGATCAATCAGTGTTTGAACCACGGAAAGACGTCAATAAAAGAGCTTTGTGGTCAGTATGTCTGCTAGTAACTGGCTCTACTACCTCCTGTTTGTCCTGAAGAATGACGGTCCCCTCCAGTTCCACCACCTCGAACATCATGACTCGACACAACTCTCTCCTCACTGACATCGTCATGTTTGCGAAAGCTGGAAGCTGATGCATGAACTCCAGGAGCTGCTCTGTAGAGCGAGAGAGAGAGACTTTTTAAAGCAATTTATTCCACCAAACAAACAAACCATCATTTTTTAACAAACCATTACCATTTAAAGGTGACATTATGCCCCTTTTCACAAGATTTTATATAACTCTATGGCTTCCCCAGAATGTGTGTGTGAAATTTCAGCTAAAAATACCCCCCAGATCATTTATTAAAGCTTGTCAAATTTGCCCCTTTTTGGGTGTGAGCAAAAACACGCCGTTTTTGTGTGTGTCCCTTTAAATGAGCAAATGAGCTTTAGCTCCGCCTCCGTTCAGAAGAGGGCGGAGCCTTTACACGAGCTTCAGAGACTCCGGCAATAACAACACAGAGGCCAATCTCACTGATCCAGTATCAGGAATAACCAGTAGCATTACGGAGAGACTCAGGGAGACTCTCGCAATAGTTTTTTATCGACATTTAGAAAATATTGCAATAGTTTTGCTCAAATCTGTAATGTAAACGCGGCTAGAGAGAGCCTGTTGTGTGTTCTCGACAGCGAGTGCTTTACCGATGTCGTCGTCGGTGCGATCCACCGGCTCCTTCTCCAGACACTCGCGCACCAGATCTCGGCCCAGGAGAGCCTCTGAGGAGCGCTCGATGTCTTCATCCTCCTCCTCTTCCTCAGAGTCCACTGGGGCTTCGGGGAGACCCGACAGATCCACGTCTCCCATCTCACTCTCCGTGGCCTGTGGAGGAACACGTCACACTTTACTTCTACAGCTCCTCAGACCATACAGATGCTTGCAAAGCTGCTAATACAGGGTATATACAGGAATCATGGAGTTTAAATTATGTAAACAATAAAGTACTCGAGGCTAGTGCTGTGTGGTGATTGTGAATAAGTCACGGCTGAAGGGCGTTGTTAGGCACGACGCGACACGTAACTTATTCACGATACAGCACTAGCCTCGAGTACCTTATTGCTTTTATAACACCGTGTCCACATAATACAAATATTAAAGTAAAAAAAATGTATCAATGCAACTATATAATGAAGTAAAATCACTAAAAGCCTTCCTTCCGCTGGAAAAAATAGTCTCTGACCGTGAACAGCAACAGAAATTACACACATTATTTCTCCATTAGATGGCGGCAAAGCTGTCTTTATGAGTGAGTGAGTCAGTAGAGAAGACTTTTATATTCAAACGATTGAAAGTTGTGTACACAGAGAGAAAGACGTAACTGATGAATGTCTAGCATGTCACGGGAAAACCCCTTAACTGTTAGAAGGACAAGATATCGCGGTGGACATTCAAACGGATATTTTATTATGAATATAGAACTGACCTGAAGGAAAATGCTCAGTCTACTGTAAATGCAGGTACACACACTTACACTTTAACTTACATTTACTATATATTGATTGTAAGATTGCATAACTAAACATAGTCTTAGTGATAATTCATTATCAATGCAACATAATTCAGAAGGGTTGGAACGAAGCACAAGAGAATTAATTCAAAAATGAATACAATTCTTTGGACAAATATACATAATGAAAAGATGATACAAAATGTAATACCTTGGAAAATGGCATTTAATATTTTTTAAGGGCCTAAATTTCTCAACTTTTAATACTTTTTAAGACCCAGCGGACACCCTTTAATAAACAAGAAAATATCAGAATCAATGATGCAAACTTCATTCAAATTCTGCTGTAAAGCAGCTCTAGAAGACAATGGTGTCATTGTTCAGATCAAGTCAGTTCAGTGATTTGACCAAACATCAGTGATTGTGGCTGTTCAGACTTAGGAAAGGAAATCATGAGGTTTATGTTCTTCAGCACATCCTTTCTCTTTAATGTCAACGTGATCTCTGCTAAACCGATTTAGTAAACGAGAAGAAGGGATTTATGAGAGCTTACATGTGATTCACTGATTCATGCGCTGAATGCAAATATCAGGGTCCAGCGTGATGTTTAAAAGCGTTCCTGTCGTGAGCCACATGAGCAGCGCTGGAGTTATTAAAGGGGTCGTGACATGAGATACTGTATCTCATTTGCCTTGATCTTTTGACATGTAAGAGTTATTCAAAACAGATTGAAGCGTGACCTCTGTGTCTCTGTGATTGTGTTTGCGGTTAATGTAATGACTGACGCTGTCTACACTGATACAGTATACAGATGTGTGTTCAGATTATAATGACTGAAGCTGTCTACACTGATACAGTATACAGATGTGTGTTCAGATTATAATGACTGATGCTGTCTACACTGATACAGTATACAGATGTGTGTTCAGATTATAATGACTGACGCTGTCTACACTGATACAGTATACAGATGTGTGTTCAGATTATAATGACTGACGCTGATACACTGATACAGTATACAGATGTGTGTTCATATTATAATGACTGACGCTGTCTACACTGATACAGTATACAGATGTGTGTTCAGATTATAATGACTGACGCTGTCTACACTGATACAGTATACAGATGTGTGTTCAGATTATAATGACTGACGCTGTCTACACTGATACAGTATACAGATATGTGTTCAGATTATAATGACTGACTGTCTACACTGATACAGTATACAGATGTGTGTTCAGATTATAATGACTGACGCTGTCTACACTGATACAGTATACAGATGTGTGTTCAGATTATAATGACTGATCCTGTCTACACTGATACAGTATACAGATGTGTGTTCAGATTATAATGACTGATGCTGTCTACACTGATACAGTACACAGGTGTGTGTTCAGATTATAATGACTGACGCTGTCTACACTGATACAGTATACAGATGTGTGTTCAGATTATAATGACTGATCCTGTCTACACTGATACAGTATACAGATGTGTGTTCAGATTATAATGACTGACGCTGTCTACACTGATACAGTATACAGATGTGTGTTCAGATTATAATGACTGACGCTGTCTACACTGATACAGTATACAGATGTGTGTTCAGATTATAATGACTGACGCTGTCTACACTGATACAGTATACAGATGTGTGTTCAGATTATAATGACTGATGCTGTCTACACTGATACATTATACAGATGTGTGTTCAGATTATAATGACTGACGCTGTCTACACTGATACAGTATACAGATGTGTGTTCAGATTATAATGACTGACGCTGTCTACACTGATACAGTATACAGATGTGTGTTCAGATTATAATGACTGACGCTGATACACTGATACAGTATACAGATGTGTGTTCAGATTATAATGACTGATGCTGTCTACACTGATACAGTATACAGATGTGTGTTCAGATTATAATGACTGACGCTGATACACTGATACAGTATACAGATGTGTGTTCAGATTATAATGACTGACGCTGTCTACACTGATACAGTATACAGATGTGTGTTCAGATTATAATGACTGACGCTGTCTACACTGATACAGTATACAGATGTGTGTTCAGATTATAATGACTGATGCTGTCTACACTGATACATTATACAGATGTGTGTTCAGATTATAATGACTGATGCTGTCTACACTGATACAGTATACAGATGTGTGTTCAGATTATAATGACTGATGCTGTCTACACTGATACAGTATACAGATGTGTGTTCAGATTATAATGACTGATGCTGTCTACACTGATACAGTATACAGATGTGTGTTCAGATTATAATGACTGATGCTGTCTACACTGATACAGTATACAGATGTGTGTTCAGATTATAATGACTGACGCTCTCTACACTGATACAGTATACAGATGTGTGTTCAGATTATAATGACTGACGCTGTCCACACTGATACAGTATACAGATGTGTGTTCAGATTATAATGACTGACGCTGTCTACACTGATAAAGTATACAGATGTGTGTTCAGACTATAATGACTGATGCTGTCTACACTGATACAGTATACAGATGTGTGTTCAGATTATAATGACTGACGCTGATACACTGATACAGTATACAGATGTGTGTTCAGATTATAATGACTGACGCTGTCTACACTGATACAGTATACAGATGTGTGTTCAGATTATAATGACTGACGCTGTCTACACTGATACAGTATACAGATGTGTGTTCAGATTATAATGACTGACGCTGTCTACACTGATACAGTATACAGATGTGTGTTCAGATTATAATGACTGATGCTGTCTACACTGATACAGTATACAGATGTGTGTTCAGATTATAATGACTGATGCTGTCTACACTGATACAGTATACAGATGTGTGTTCAGATTATAATGACTGACGCTGTCTACACTGATACAGTATACAGATGTGTGTTCAGATTATAATGACTGATGCTGTCTACACTGATACAGTATACAGATGTGTGTTCAGATTATAATGACTGACGCTGATACACTGATACATTATACAGATGTGTGTTCAGATTATAATGACTGATGCTGTCTACACTGATACAGTATACAGATGTGTGTTCAGATTATAATGACTGACGCTGTCTACACTGATACAGTATACAGATGTGTGTTCAGATTAGAATGACTGACGCTGTCTACACTGATACAGTATACAGGTGTGTGTTCAGATTATAATGACTGATGCTGATACACTGATACATTATACAGATGTGTGTTCAGATTATAATGACTGACGCTGTCTACACTGATACAGTATACAGATGTGTGTTCAGATTATAATGACTGACGCTGATACACTGATACATTATACAGATGTGTGTTCAGACTATAATGACTGATGCTGTCTACACTGATACAGTATACAGATGTGTGTTCAGATTACAATGACTGACGCTGATACACTGATACATTATACAGATGTGTGTTCAGAATATAATGACTGATGCTGTCTACACTGATACATTATACAGATGTGTGTTCAGATTATAATGACTGATGCTGTCTACACTGATACAGTATACAGAAGTGTGTTCAGATTATAATGACTGACGCTGTCTACACTGATACAGTATACAGATGTGTGTTCAGATTATAATGACTGACGCTGTCTACACTGATACAGTATACAGATGTGTGTTCAGATTATAATGACTGACGCTGTCTACACTGATACAGTATACAGATGTGTGTTCAGATTATAATGACTGACGCTGTCTACACTGATACAGTATACAGATGTGTGTTCAGATTATAATGACTGACGCTGTCTACACTGATACAGTATACAGATGTGTGTTCAGATTATAATGACTGACGCTGTCTACACTGATACAGTATACAGATGTGTGTTCAGATTATAATGACTGACGCTGTCTACACTGATACAGTATACAGAAGTGTGTTCAGATTATAATGACTGACGCTGTCTACACTGATACAGTATACAGATGTGTGTTCAGATTATAATGACTGACGCTGATACACTGATACAGTATACAGATGTGTGTTCAGATTATAATGACTGACGCTGTCTACACTGATACAGTATACAGATGTGTGTTCAGATTATAATGACTGACGCTGTCTACACTGATACAGTATACAGATGTGTGTTCAGATTATAATGACTGACGCTGTCTACACTGATACAGTATACAGATGTGTGTTCAGATTATAATGACTGACGCTGATACACTGATACAGTATACAGATGTGTGTTCAGATTATAATGACTGACGCTGTCTACACTGATACAGTATACAGATGTGTGTTCAGATTATAATGACTGACGCTGATACACTGATACAGTATACAGATGTGTGTTCAGATTATAATGACTGA